GTCGGCTTCTGGAGTGCTGTTGTTTTGCTGCTCGCGCACATTCCTGGAAACCTCAGTTGCCTCGGCTTGTCCTTGCTGCGGCTGCTGGTCGGCTTCTGGAGCGCTCTTGTTTTGCTGCTCGCGTACCTTGCTCGAAACCTCAGTTGCCTCGGCTTGCTTTTGCTCGGCTTCTGGAGTGCTGTTGTTTTGCTGCTCGCGTACCTTCCTGGAAACCTCAGTTGCTTGCTTTTGCTGCGGCAGCTGGTCGGCTTCTGGAGTGCTGCTATTTTGCTGCGCGCGCGCCAGTTCGTGTGTTTCCTGACTCCCCTTCTTGGGGCCCCCTACCCCTGCGTGGGCGTTCTCTTCAGCTGCCGCGTCGATGGCTGCTTCAACTTCTCGAAAGCGGGCTTGCATGTAATGTTTGGTCTTCTGAGTGCGGTCGCTGACCTTGGGCTTGTCGTTCATAGGCTTTCGCTCCTGAAGCCATGACAGGCTGTCGACATTTTGTCCGTTCTTTTCTTGGGGTGAGGGCTGTTCCCTTGCATACGCGAGGATTTGTTGAGTGTCAGGCTCAAAAGGCAAGGTGTCCCATTGCTCCTGCGGGGTCTCCAGGTCAACCACCACCACAGGCGCTGGAGCGACTTGGCGATTGGCCAATCCTCGCAATGTTGATCCGCACGCATGGTCGAATATATGTTCTTGTGGATCGAACGTTTTGTTTGGGATCCTTTGGTAACATTCACTGGTCCGAAAGCTTGGAAGATGCGTTTTCCCGGGCCTCCTGCTATGTCTCTGATCAAGACGGGTTAAATCACATATTTTTGGCTGACGTGCGGCCAAAACTCAATATCGATCATGCGCAGAGGGTTTTTTTAAACATTGTGGTATCCTTAATTTGGGTGTGGGTTTCCGCAAAATACAGGCGCTTTATATTCTCCCGCTTTTTGGTTTCCCATCAGCGCATGTGACACCCCTCATCCGAAACGGTGCAATGGAGGGGACGTATGTATAAAGAAATGCACCATGAATGCTTTTGCGTGATATCAAAAATTTAATTTAACCGCATTTCAGGGTCGAGAAAACAAGAATCGTGCAAATTGATCGATCCTATACCGGATTGACAAAGAGCGACATGCCCGGATAAAACTAACCCCGCGCAAGCCTACTGCGCGCATATGTGCCCATTGTCAATTGGATATGCGCCATTCCGAGGCTCGACGCTCATCAACGCCAGCTTGGCCTGGGCCCAAGGGCAGCTTCTCCGAGGAAGGGGCGGGCGAGTCCTCGATGATGTCCGGCTCATCGATCCTGAGCCCCGCAATTGTGATCGACCGAGTGATGTTGTTCAGGGCGCCGTTGTTCTTATTTCGAATAGAACCGAAATTCTTTCAAAGTCTCATGCTTTTTATCCCGTAACAGCAGCCCTCGATCGGCTTGTACGCCAGTGCAAACTTTGGGTAAATGATTGAGGCCCCGTCAAACTTGCGAGGCTCTCCGTCATCTTTTCTTGGGGTAGCTCATCAGGGCTGACTGCAGCTGCTCGAGAGCCATCATGGGACTCCTTCGCCGCGGTCTGTTTGGTGAGGGCTTGCATTTCATCGGAAGCTGGCTGCTGACTATCCTCAATCAACACCTGGGAGTTCAAATGAAAGAGCCGCATGAGCTCAGCATCATCCATCTTTTCCAAGGAAGCCATTCTCAGCGGCGGCAACTTCTGCAGAAAAGGGCTACGGCCTTCCTGGCTATAAGCACAAAAAGCTGGCCAGGAAAGTGGCAAAGGCGACCCTCGATCCGATCCATTTCATGCGCAGCTATATGTAGGAACCACGGGGGTCCACGATGAATATGGTTTGAGACGCAAAGGAAACATGCAAATACGATTGAAAAATGCTTGTTCCGCTAGCTGAGGTTCGAAATATGCGGTTTGGGCAGCTTCCACAAAATCCATGACCATGTCTCGAACTTGTTGGTCCTAACCAGCATGAAAACATCAAGACACAAAATGCTTAAATTGGAACCAAGCCAAATGTCATTTTTCGAGTGAAAAGGGTATGACTGCGTGCAAACATGTATCTCGAGGGAACTCAGCCCGTTTCCACTTCCTCTTCAACATGCAAAGCATGCGCTTCGCCATAAAAGCTGAACCATGCGCTACCAGCCGCAGATCATCACCCATGTTTTCTTCCGGGGCGTTCTCCCTGTAGAAGCGTGTGATTGGCTCACGGACAGCTTCGATGCATGTATGAATGACGCCAGCGCTGGCCATGTGCTTCGTATAGGCCTTGAGCAAGTTGTGATTTTCACGTAAGTTCGACAGGGTTGGGTGAACTTGTACCTTGCCCGCCACATCTGTTAAAAGGATCTTCTTGTTCACGGCACGCTTGCGCAGTTGGGCTTGTTCAGCCCACTGCGCCACACACGCGTCATCAAAGCTGAAAGCCATGTTAATCCGCGCGCTAGCTAGCTACTTGACCCAAACGTGCAGTTACTAAATACGTACATCGATCAACATGCACGCAAGCAGGGCCACAGGCCGCAAGCATGCCCACCCCCACCGAAGGGGCGCCTGGCAAGCGAGCCGATCGATGAACTAGCTGAGGCCCAGCAAGCCGATGACCTGCCACGACGCTGGGGGCGTGTCAAAAAAGCGTGCAGGATTCACGAGCAACAAAAAGTTTAAAACAGGCCAGTGGTGCGTCATGCACATTGGCACATACATGGCGACAAACCGAGGTCTCTATAGCTTCGTTGTTGTGCTCTGATTTTGTATGCTATTTCTTGCTTACCTGCTTCGCTGGTGCTTCCCTGCCTTGCAGATTTGCACTTTCCTGTCAGCCATCCTCGTCCGGCCAATTTCGGGCGATTCGAGCGAAGAACGGGCGACCGACCAAACAACCATTTATTTCTGGCCGTTCCAGGCCCCAGGTAGGGGTACGGGATTTTGACCCATGGCCATTTCAGTTTATCAATGGGTGTTACGCTTGGGGCCCCTCCAAAAGTGGTCTGATGCCCAAACTAAACCCAGGGAGAAGCACCCTACTAGCAAACGGGGGTTGATTCATATGGGGTCAACAAGATTGTTATGTGTTAAAGGGAGCTCAAAAGGAAAGCTACAATTTTTGGTACCAGCCCTAAAAGCCGGTGAACACGTCATACCCAAGAAACAAAGCCTAGTGTTTGTGGAGATATGATGTTCGCATGCTCGAGCATGTTAACATGTTTCTTCAATCCATACTTCGACTGGAACAGATTTCCCACAGGTTTTCTACAGGAACCTCACTTATTTCTCACCAAATTTGCAAAATCCATCAAATTCATCAAAACCTGACTGGGGCGGATTGGAGCCCTATATGAGAACCCTAGGCTTGAATCGAGAGGCCCTCCCGCAACCTCTGGCAGCCATAAGTTGAATTTCAGATTCGGCTTGGATTCAAATGCCCTCACTCCGAATCACCAGGTGCCTTTTCCGGCGCAAGCAATTGAATGCAAACTGCAGCTGCATGCCTCATGCCCCACTCAGGGTGGCAAGGGGATCTCAGAAAGCATTGGAGGGTTTCTTCAAACACACAATGTTGTGTGTGTTTTTTTCCCGGAGAAAAAAAGACAGGGTGGTTTGCGCACGCACGACAAAATTACAGGTTTTTGCAGCCCCATGTTGTTGCTCCTTGTTTGTGGTGAAAAATGGAACAAAGAGGAACACTTAATTTTGGAGGGTGCCAGTATTTTGAGCCAAACCTGTAGTCTTCCGGACGTTTGGGAAGTCAAGTCTCGTAGTGTGTGTGTGTGTGGCTGTGTGTGTGTGTGTGTGTGTGTGTGTGTGTGTGTGTGTGTGTGTGTGTGTGTGTGTGTGTGTGTGTGTGTGTGTGTGTGTGTGTGTGTGTGTGTGTGTGTGTGTGTGTGTGTGCGTGTGCGTGCGCGTGCGCGTGCGCGTGCGCGTGCGTGTGTGGTGTGTGTGTGTGTGTGTGTGTGTGTGGGTGCGTGTGCGTGCGTGTGTGCGTGTGTGCGTGTGTGCGTGTGTGCGAGTGTGCGTGTGTGCGTGTGTGCGTGTGTGCGTGCGTGCGTGCGTGCGTGCGTGCGTGCGTGCGTGCGTGCGTGCGTGCGTGCGTGCGTGCGTGCGTGCGTGCGTGCGTGCGTGCGTGCGTGCGTGCGTGCGTCGTGCGTGCGTGCGTGCGTGCGTGCGTGTGTGTGTGTGTGTGTGTGTGTTGTGTGTGTGTGTGTGTGTGTGTGTGGGTGTGTGTGTGTGTGGGTGTGGGTGTGGGTGTGGGTGTGGGTGTGGGTGTGGGTGTGGGTGTGGGTGTGCGTGTGCGTGTGCGTGTGCGTGTGCGTGTGCGTGTTTGTGTGTGTGTGTGTGTGCGTTTCTGTGTGTGTGTGTTTAGTCTTGTTGAGGGTAATTGCTCTGTTTTGGGTTGCATGAATCAACTGGAAACCAAGAGGAACACCGCACCTTTTGGTGGTCCCCCTATTTTGACACCCACCCAAGTGCTTTGTTTGCTTGTGGGCTTCCACTGCGATACCGATTCGGAACCTTAGGGAACTAGTCGCTTGGAAGGCCCAACCGTGTTTCAATGTGTTGGAAACTGATGAAATATGCCAATGCCTTTTGTTTGGCCAGCTCAGATTCCAACCAGTGTTGAGCAGACTTGGTCTAAACCATGGTTTTCAACGCGGGCAGGGTTCCGAGCCTCTTAAATCGCGTATGGTTATTTTAGAGAACCATTGACACCTGCCCATATTGGGGTTGGGGTTGGTTTCAGAACAATTTCTAGGGTCCCCTGGCGACAAACCGGAGGGAGGAACTTTGCTTCAGAGGCAGTTACCAAGTTAAAGTGGGTACCTGCCCAGTGCTGGGTGCCTCGCGACGGAAGGCAACGTGGCTAGAACACCTAGGTCCCCCAGCTAATTGCCCTGCTCTCCCCTTCTTGGGGGAGGGTTCCCCTACTAAAATGGCCTGCAGAAAAAAAATGGTACCCTTATTCCTCTCTACTGGAGGACCTAGACATTGCTTCGTTTTCGATCGGGAGGCCTGGATGGGCACTGCTGACGACTGGATCGGGTCTACGGACAAGCCCACAAAAGAGCAAGGCGCAGGGGGTTCAGAAGGAAGCACGAGTTCGCACGGAGAGCAAGGTGTGTTTTGTGTTGTCAGGGACCGGGTTAAAACGCGGTGCGCCCTCAAAAATAGCACCACCCAAACCCTTGGGACGGTTGGTGCAAGGGAACCAAAATGACACCACCCATTTTTGTTGGGTTCCCCTATTTTGAGACAAGCCCATTTTTGAGTACTCACTTCCCAAGTTGGATTTTATTAGTCTTGAAACATGCACCCCCTTGTGGTTTCTCTTCGAAGGGGATTCAACATAGTATACTTAGACATTGTTGTCTAATTATGCATGTAGTATTGTGTGAACATACTCATTGGTATATTGAGAATGATCACTACGGTGGATGCCAACATAAAGCAACTGCACCAACCACATCCAACACCAACGGTTAAATGCAGTAGTTTACTGGATCTCTCTGGCTTGCTTCACAACGCAGGTGACCCCTGGAGGGTACCCTGAAAAAGAGTTTTTGTTTCAGAGGGAAAGCAAAAGAAGAACCACCCACTTGGAGTTCGGAGTGTTCCCCCATTCTGCACCCACACCAATGCTGAGTTGGCACCCATGCAGCGTAGCTTTTGACTCATGCCGTATGTGGCGCGGCCAGGCATTTTGCCCAGAGAGGTATATATGTTTTTACGAGGGCCTGTGTTGCAGAAGCTGTTTCCAACAGGATCGTCATCTTCCAAAAGGGTGTGGTGCGCTTTCTTTTTGCTTCCATATTTGACTTTAGTGGACCCAGTTTGATCGCACGGGTGAATCAACTGCACGGGTTCAGAGGCACTGCACGAATCCCTAGAGCCACGACTCAAGTATCTCCTCGACGCCAAAAGGCATAGCGCAAAGCAAGCAGACCAAACTCCCACCCCGGGGAAACGAGAAGAGGTGTTTGTACAAGGGCGGTTTTTTCACATATTTCACACGGGCTTGGTCCAACCCAACAGGGGCCGTCAGGAGCCTTTGGGACTTTGGGACTTTGGGCAGAGAAAGAGGGGCTATAACCGACAGAATGGGGACCCAGGTAGATCCTCTTTTCAACGAGGGCTACTAGCAACATAGGTCCAATCCATTGTCTACTTAGGGTTGCCTGCATACCTGGAGTCTCCATGACCCTTAAAAAAGGTCCATGCCCCCATTTTTAAGGATAATGACCCCAGTTGTAAAGGGTCGTGGAGACTCCAGGTACAGCACTAATCCCCAGATCTCATGAGGATGGCTTTTGGGGTGCAAAAAAGGGGTCGTTCAGTACCTCCTCGGAAGGTGCCAAGGGACCCTCTGCGATCCATTGTCTACTTCGGGTTGCCTACAGCACTAAAGGTTGCACCTCGATTGCCAACCCGTCATTCGCCTGGCTGCCGGAGCTCCAGAAGCTTCGAACCGAAGGTGCAGTGCAAAGACCCACCCCCGTGGGTCCTTTCTTCTGGCGCGAGAATCGGACCCTCCCCCCGCAAAATGGCTTCGGTGTTTCCTGTTGGTTTCCCTTTGAAACCACCAACCAAGGTACCCTCAAAGCATGACATACCCATAGTGAATTGGCATCCGCACCATAGTGAGTCTCCGCCCCGCCAAAACAAAGGTAAGAAAAAGTGCGTTCTTTCCCTTTCACAAGAGCAACTTTCATTTGCATAGTGACATGTCTGATTATCTTTTCGATCTTTTGTTGACAGAGGGTGTCAACATCACTGGACATGTGTTTTCTCGTATTTTGCTCCAGGACACTTTACTGCTTAAATGAGTGTGTGTGTGTGTGTTGTTTTTTATTTTTCCCGAGGGTACCTTTTTGTTGTTGTTTGAAAGGAAGCCACGAGGAACACCGAAGCCATTTTGGTGGGTAATTACACCCCAAAAAAGACGAGCCACATGGATGTGACCGCTGGAGTTGTTTTTATTCCTTTCCAGGGGACACCCCCTAGAATGGTTTCAGTTTTCCTTTTGGTTTCCCTTTCAAACCACGCAACAAAGGGGTATAGCTAGCGAGCCTCAAAGAAAGACTTGCCACGTGGTACACTTACCGAGCTCCAAAGAAAGACGAGCCACGGGTTGGCTGTGGTTTGGCTCCATTCCACCGGAAACTGCACTTGGATGATAATCGCTGAATGGCTAGCAACCCCCTGGTTGCAGGGGACAAACCAACCATTGCTTTGGTGGGTTAGCCATTGATTTTGGGCCCTCAAACAGCCAGGTTTTGAGACCCCAAAACCCCTCTGAGGTGTCCAATGGAGTGTCTGGGTCTTCCATTGGAAGCCCCAGGAGTGTCTGGGAGGGCAAAGCTAGCCATTGAGCTATCCCCCAGACCATCTAAGAACCTCGCCGCGAGAGTCAGGTGTTCTGACTCCCGGCGGCTTCAAGGCAAAGGCCCACGGCACGGTGATGCACCTCTTCTCTGGCCCTTCGGCCCACGGGAGATCTCCCCACGTCGGTAGGGTGGGGCCACCCAGAAACATGTTTAAACCACGGGTTATGATGACTCTTCCCTTGTAAAGGTGGTGTTTAAACCATATGCTGCCCCACCCAGTCGGTCGGTCCGTCGCGGGTTGGGGTAGAGTTTTGTTTGTTGGCCGCGGTTCGGAGAAGGGGGAATCGAACAAGGCCCAGAGATAGACTGTAGACACTTTTAAGGGGGGTTGGAACATCCTGGACCCCAGCCCCTTTTCCTGCCTTGTACCACTTTGGCATAGGTCAAAGGGCCGAAAAAAGCGGTCCACTGGGGGCACAGGATGGCAAAGAACATGTTTCACAGGTTACTTTTTGTTGGCTCCACTCGGGAAGTGAGCTACCCATGAGGGCGCTATCCGGAATTGGCGGAACCCTTCAATCAGCCCCCGTTCTTTTCTAAGGCCCCCTCTTTCGGGGTGTCTTCTCCGCGATGTTGCATGGGGTATAGAGAACTGCTCCTGAACTCCAGGGGTTAGACTAGGTATGAGAACCTGAACTCCTTGTATTTGTTCCGACCCTAACCCCTAATCCCAAACCTTAAACCCACCCTAAGAATTATTTTAGACGATTTGTTGCGACCCCAGATATGAAGCAGGTCGGAGTCGTTCAGGGATGAAATGGAGTTTCCGCCTCTTTAGTTCGGCCGATCGAACTCGCGCGGTCCCATGAAATAACCTGTACGGGGCTGTCGGCTTTGGATTTTGGAGAAGCAATGGGTTCCGCCTTCATTTAGTTGTCAAAGCTAACCAAAGGAACGGGCTTGGTTTAGACTCGTAAGCGAAACATGGCTGGGTACCATAGCCTGTTTGGGATCTGGGAACATCAAGCAGCACAGCTGTGGCCACTGAACCACAACTCGATATTTACGCAGCAAAGGGGGAGGCATGGATGGACGAAATCCTGCACCCACTTGTCCATCCACAGCAAGGGCCTAAGCTTTGCCAAAGTGCCAAAGTGTTCTATCGAAAGCCTAGGAAAAGGCTCCCGGAGTTTGGTTGGCGCCGAGCCTTAAAACACGGACCAGAAGGGACATCGGTATTGAGTGCTTTGTTGTGTCGTTGCCAAGCACCGGCATACCCTTGCGAATTGGTTTTGGAGCAACCTTGGCCCTTTTGGGCTCCTGTTTACCCAGGCATGCTGTTGAATGCTGCGGTCGCACGATCCGAGGTCAAGAGGAGGTTTTCATCTACTCTCCGCACAAAGCCAGCCATGCCATCATCCTCTCCCACTATGGCAGGTGGTCGGATGTTTATGCCGCTGGCAAAGAAAAAGTGGGTTGAAAGCGTCGGGGGTTGGGTGGCGCTTCCTTTTGGTGGGGTCAAATTGGACCCTTTGCAGATATTTTGAGGGGAAATCAGCCAAAGGGTTCCTCCCATAGGTGTCCTTTTTTAGTTGTTTTGGTAGAACAACAGATGGCGATTCCTGGTTTTTCCGGTGGTTTTTTCTCATCCACCAGGGAAATCCGAATCTATTTCCAACCTAAAAAGTTCCACCTATGGAGTTCCTCTCATATGGTTCCAAAGATGTCCCAGGTCCCAAGTCCCTGAAAAAGGCCCCTCTGACAAATATGGGTGTGGTGGTCAAAACCGTTTTGGGATCCCATTTTGGTTGGTAGGTGAATTCACCACCCATTTCAGTCGGGATTTTAGTGGGGGTTGGGATGTTCACTGGGGGTACGATTTAAGATTTTGACCCATGCCCATATGGCATCGATTTTGCGAAGGGCATGACGTCTCAGGAAGCAACTGCCACTGCAGACCCTGGATTTGTTCCAAGCAAGCCGCTCTCCTGGGAAATGGCCTTTACATTTGGCGATTCCTCCAAGCAGCACCGATTTGTGGGGGATTTGAAGGGCAGGGAGATCGAAAGGACGCCTATCCTAGGCTTTGTTTGGATACTCCTGTGTTCTTTTCTTTGCCAAAAGAGTGCCTGAGCATATTTGTGTGCAGCTGGCTTGCATTTTCTTAGGAATGATCAAGACATCCAGCTTTCAGAAGGTGGAGTCCAAGAAATCGGAGTGACTTTAAACACGGATGTTCTTTTTGGGGTTTCCATGTTAGCCTGCAGAGAAGCAGTTGAGATCCGCCAAAGCAACAGCTACCCCATCGGTGCCCAGGAGCTCCTGTCAAGGGTCTTTGGGGGTCAAAGGCCCTCGTAATTTGGGGGTCCAAGGGGCAAATGGGTACAAAACTCGCACAGCTAAAGACACCCCGCCCTCTTTCGGTTTCACGTACTATCTGCTTCTGAGCATTTTCTGGTTTTGCCGCAGAACAGTTGAGCAGTTCCCTGAAGCACCTAGAAAGGGCTTGTGGCTTCCCTGGTACGGCAGATTTCCTGGTGCAAGTATAGCAACCCACACTCCCCGACAGGTAAAGGGAAAGTAGAAGCGGTTCCCTTGTTCTTTTATTTGCACTACTGTGGATGGACAAAATCCTGCACCAGTTGGTATGTGGTTTGTCCCGCAGGGTTTCATCCATCTTCAATTCAGGGTGTCCACCCCCTACTGAAAATATGGTGTTTCAAAAAAACATAAACTGACAACAATGATACTGTGGATGGTTGCGAAATCCATTTCGCGCCACGTTGAAACCATGGTTGAAACCAGAACTTTTGTTGGTGTTTACAGAAGAATCGAATCAGTGTCAGAAGAATCGAAAATCATTCCGTGGGGTTTCTTGGGTGCAACATTTTGTCCATCCACAGTATTTGGCGTAGGCACTTTCCACCCACCTCCAACCGCTTCGATTCGTCCGAGGGGTCGCAGACCTCGGATCTGTCCAGCTCCACCTCCGATGGCGCCTACGGGATTTACGCGCCTCGGAGAAACCAGGGAAAAAACAAAAAAAGAAGAAAAGCTAACGAGCAGATGGAAAGCACGGCTATTGAGATCAAGGGGTTTATGCCCACTTCTGTGATAGAAGGGGATCTCCCCCGTTTATTTTTATTTTATTTTTTTGGGGGGTAGTCTTTGGGGAGCCGTTTTTTGTTATATCACAGAAGTGGTCATTTCCCACAGGACTGTTGGACTGTGACTAGGATTGATTTCCCCTCAGGAAACCTAACAGGGGAATCAACCTTCAACGTCGAAGCTCCCAAGTGTCGTGGCTAAAATTTGTCCGGAATGTCGCGGTTGCTGCTCCCAAAACCTGGCACCATTTCCATCCGGCACGCCTTCCCGCCAGTCCCTTCCCTCTTTGAACAGGGGGGTCTGAGAAAAACGTGAACATATTCCCTAACCCTTGCTTGGTTGAAACATACATTTACCCCTGGTTTGGTTGCACACTACCCTCACCTTGGGGGTTCATGTTTTATGTTCGTTCGGTGAATGTTGATAGTTTCTCCAGATACTTGCAACATGAGGGTGTGTCTTTTTTACAGGGGATCCCAAAAAGATGGCTGGTTTCCTTTTGGCCGCTGTGAAGGCATACAGTTGACCAAAGAAGTTGGCTTCTAGAGGAGCTCACTCCCGGTCGAGTTTCTCGACTTGATCGTCCCTTTTTCAATTACCATTTTAGCAGCAAAAAGTTTGGTGTCGCTTTCTCTGGCCAGTCCACGTAGAAAGGCGAGAGGAAACGGAAGTTCTACCTTCTTCCATGACCTTTGGGCAACCTCAGAGAAGCGAATCTTGAGAACATGCCATGGTTCTGCTCTCTGCTGCTCAAATCTTGATGGCTCCCAGCCATCCGGTTCCTTAGCTTTTAGCTTTTTAGGGTTTAGTGGGGTTTTCCATTTAACCCACTAAAAGTAAAACTGTTAGCGGGGGATCTGAGGACAGCCCAGAAATGGCAATTGTTGACTTCGGATAAATCGAGCCATGCATACGAATCAGTGGCATCCTATTGCCAATATTGAGAACCATCATGAGTAGAGCACAACTCTCCGCTTTAATCCCAAGTGGACATTATGAACTTTAATCGGGCACACCATGCATCTCCACGTATGTCCATCAAAGAAGTTCCAAGTCAAATGTTGTTTTCAAGTAGCAAGACATGTGCAGAGGGTCAGCTCTCTTGTTGTTCCCCTGCAGATGAACACAGAGCCCAAACTGGGGCTCTTTTTCGAATAATATTCCATTCCTTGTGTGTTTGGCTTCCATGTTGACCTGTGGCAGAGGAGATCTTAATGTTGACTGCTCTTTGACCGGAATGACCGAATGACTTGCTTGAACATGGCAACCAGCAAAAAGGTGTTGTAGCGTGTTGCAGAGGTTCAAAGTGACCAGATTAGCAAGCCTTTAAAGTGGGTTCACTGCTCTTGTTCCACTCACACCCAAAATGGGTGGTATTCCTTTTAGTGCCCCTTTAGAACCACCCAACAAGGGGGGTGCGATTCCTTAGAAAAGAAAAGCCACCAATGGGCTTGTGGACATGTGCTTAGCATTGGGATCTTTCAATTGCTTAACACTATCGATCCTACTATTTTGCCAAGGTGTGCAAACACGTTCTGTCATGCCCCCACATGTGATTTTGTACGACCTTGTCCTTTGGCCGAGTCAGACATGGGGGGTTCTCAAAATCGGGACCCTGCAAATGGCTGGTTTTGCTTTTGGATTCCCTTATAAACCACCCCTATTTTGACAACACACACCTAGCCGAGACCCTGCAGGAGGCAAAAAAAACTTATTCAATCGGCATATAAGTCTCCCGGGTCTCCCGGCATACCGATGCGCATGCTGTGAACCCGCGTCGGAAAACATGCCACGTGTTTGGAAAAACTGATGTTTAGGGCATCCACCGTAGCCATTGGTAGCCTCTCCTATCACCATCCAACAATTGGTCAAATTTTAGTAAGGAATTCTTCTGACTGGCTCCGGGATGATAGTAAGGCACGTGTGGATATGTGTCAAAGTCGGGGCACCCCAAACCTATATTTGTTCCTGCTTCTTTCCCTGATTAACAAGAAAGGAGACTCCCCCTTTTTTGCACAACTTTAGAGCCATGTCGGGTGATCTGCCATTTGCTGACAGGAATGTATGTATGTTTTTGTTCCCGGTGGGCTTTTAGAGGGGATCGATTTCACTACTGGATGTGTTTGTCATGACGTATCCGCAAATGGATGTCGCAACATGGGCGGCGAATTCGCCTTTTGGCTTGAGATCACCGAGTGAAACCCACCAAAAGTGGTTGAAATCAAGCTGGGTTTTCCATATTGGACCCACCAGTGGAACAAATCAAGCTGGCTTTCCAGATTTAGCTCACTAAACATGTTTTCACTTCTCGCAGATCTTCCCCATGAAGCCCACCCAGGTTTTTGTTGTTTCTCGTTTTGTTTCAGAGGGGTCGTCACCTTCGCGAGACTCGCCGAGACTCGCCTGAGGTTCCTTTGGGCCACGCCACCAGGGGCCAAGTGAGGAAGGCCAGCATCTTCTATGCCGCCCTGGGCCCAGCGAGCGGAGCCGGAGCCGTGGAGCGGGGAGGGGATCCAAAACGAGGCACTGGCCACGGGTTTCAGCGTTTTGTTGGGAGGGATTTGTGTATTGTTTGGTAGTATTAGAAGGGAACACAGTGAAACATGTCTTGTTTTAGGGATTTGTGTTCTATTGTGTTTTAAGCCAAGAGGAAGCCAAACACCATTTTGGTGGTCCAATTCCTGAAAAGAGACACACCCCAAAGCGGGTCTCTTCCAAGACTATTCCATATATTGAACCTGGGCTTCCTTTGAAGATGTAAAACCCATTGCCTTCAGGCGCTTTCGCTTCCCGTGTTCCGACCATAGTGGCAAACAAAACCTAATTTGTGTTGGCCAATCCCTTGATGTGGGATCTTCTCCAAAATATTGTATAAATGTAGTTACAACACATAAACACAATCTGCAAAGTTATTTTCTGTGTACCCCAGATGTGGCCTCAGTCATGCAGGAAAGTATAGGGGGGGTGGTTTGTGCCTACTTTCACCCAAGTGAACCAAAGAGGTCCACCGGGGTCTTCCACATGCCAGGTATATCTGGGTGCAAGGTAGATCTGGTATACTCCCTGTAAAGGAAAACATTCTTGTCTTTTTTCAAATAACAGCGATTTCAATGATACTACAACAGCACATGTAAGAAACGATAAATTTGGGAGCATGAGTGATGGCGTCATAGCATATGCTTAGATTCAAGGTGACACTGCTGCTGAGACGCAACAAAAAACAACCGGTCAAAGAACCACGTTTGCTGCTGGGGAAGACTTGCTTCGGGGGAAAAGGACAGCTGGAGAAAAGGAAACCATAGGGGATGGTTGATAGGGGTCATGCCCTCATTTCCTGCTGAGCACCAAACAAGTTGTCTTTGAGACCCCTTTTGAACCCATCGCTCTGGCATAAGGAAGGTGAAAGATCCAAACTGGGTTATCGAGACACTCTCTCTTTGGAATGGCCGGCTGACTGTGAGATCGCTTCTGGCATTCCTTCCAAGCGAATTGCCGAATCCATTAATATACTTAAAGGGGCAGGGTCCGGGTACCTAGTAACTGGTTAGAAAGCCTGGTTACAATACACTTAGGATACTCTTAACCATGGTACGTGGGATAGAACCACGGTTATTGCCCACTTGCCTGACGTCCCCTGCCCCTATGCGTAGGGGGAAGTTTCCGATCGGTATCACAAGAGTGGGGCCTCCCAAACCCAGGGTTTCCGGTTGCCATTTCCCTAAATGAAGCTCCCTTCTGTCATGTTCCATGTCAATTGGTGGGGGGATAAATTGCTGAACTTCTGAAGAGGAAACCTAGGGACTGCTGAAACCCTCATTCCCTAAACCCTGAAAGTCTCACCCCAGTTTCCTGTTTGTCTTTTGGACTCTTTCAAGCTGCCCCTTGCCCTTGGCCCTTGTTGAAGCCCAAGGCATTCATGACTCATTCCCCACCTGCGGCGAGGCCGCTCAGAAAGGGAAGCTGGAGGAGATGAGTCAGAACCGTAAGAGCTTGGTGCAGGAATTGGAAGGCGCGCGGGCGCGACTGATTTGGGTCTGTGGGATTCATGAAGGAGCCATTTGTGGGTGTTTGATATTTGGACTCCCAAATACGAAACTCAACAGAAGGTGTCCCCTGAAAAAGAACACTGTCTTTTTGCATGAGTTTCATTTGGAATCTTTGGTGGACATGAAGTACACAGGGATGTGTGTGTGTGTGTGTGTGCACCAATCATTTTGGAGGGTGTCCCCTCCTTGGAATTTATAGCCGGAGGTTTTCGGACTCGCATTTTCTGCGTTTTCTTGACAGGCATACCCAGCCCGAATCAAACATGCACCTTTTTGAGGTCCATCCCTTCCAATGGCGGTCCCTCTCCCCGTTCAACGGAGCCTACAAAAGTCGATCGACCTTTTGCTCGTTCGGGGGGGTCGGCATATGGCCGGCAACTTTGCTGTGTATCCCCCACACTGGGGGAAAAGACATGTGTGAGTATCCAGAACGAAGGCAATTTGATTGCCGAAGATTCGTGTTCCCCCGAATAAAACGGTTGGAGGTTTTTCAGGGGTCAACCACAACCTCGACAGGTTGAACGGAGGTTCAACCAGCCGAATCGAATCCGGATCGAGCAGACTTTACCAGTCGTCTTTTTGAAGGGTACCATTTGTGGGGTTGGTTTACAAGAGGAAACCAAAAGGAAACTAATCTTCTTTTTTTGAGGGGGGGTCCCTAAAAAAACGCACACCCATTTATTCTCGAGGCAGGTTGGTGTAATTTACTCCTGCTATGAAGGGGGAACACTTCAGAACCGACCTCACCTTGATCTATTGCCTATCTCACTCCAGGGTCACTCCCTCGTTCGTGTGTCGCAAGTTTGTTCTGGCCAGTTCACATGGAAGTGAGCTAGCAACAGCTGGAGAGTTGCGCGAATCCAAATCCTACTGTGGGTGGACGAAATCCTGCACCGCTTGTCTTGTTGTGATGCTGCCCTTCCCACGGTTGATTTGCGGAAAGAGCAAAGCAACCGTTTCTCTCTCACTCGCAACTCAAGCGAATCGACCGGATCTGACCTTTTGGTTTTCCTATGTTGGGTTCCCAGGTTTCGTCGGCAACCCGAATGGTGATCACCTTTCATTTTTTCAGGGTGGTTTGAAGACCAAGGCATTAGACTTCTTCGTGGGGCCAAAACCGATCCACTTTGCTGAAACTTGTTGGGGCTCAAAGACCAACCCACGTGGCTGCCCGCTAACGATAAGATGGGGTGGGGGGCGTTTTGGTCGCTCCTTCGTTCGCGCTTCGCAGAAGAAGAACACACCACTGCCACCACGACTCAGCTGGCACGGGGCCTCAGATTTGACAACAAGACAAAGGTTTGGATTGAAGGCGTTTGCTTCAGTGGGGTCTCTTTGGACATCTTACGCTCACTCCCTGAGTTTCTGGACTTTAGACTTTTTGAGAAACCATTCTAAGTAGCAAGCAAAACAAACGGTTGCTGTTTTTGGCCTACGATCGGAAGTAAGAACATTACATGAATGACAGAAGGCAACCATCGACAAACTTTTAGAGCCTCCGGCACACTCCGCTGACATTCCATTCATTTATTTCCCTTCATTTCGCCTTCATTTCCCCTGTACCCCTTCATGTCCCCTTCATGTCCCTTCATTGTGTCCTTTTTGCCAACAGGGGGCTCTTGACCTTCTCCCCCCCCCGAACAGAAAATGAGGGACACGCCCAGATACTGTGGACGGACGAAATCCATTGCGCACCACCCAAGAAACCCTAGAATGCTTAAACTTCCCTTGTAAATACCAACAAAAGTTCTGGTTTCAACCGTGGTTTTACAGTGGTGCGAAACGGATTTGGTCCATCCACAGTATTATCCGTCCCCTTTGGTGTCGTTTGGGGATTCCCTAAAAGAACCATATTGCGGATGGACGAATTCCTGCACCACCCAAGAAACCCTATAATGATAAATTCCCCTGTAAATACCCACAATGGTTTCAAGGCGGTCCGAATTGGATTGAGGCCCTCCAGAGTTCGGTGATGAAGCTCCAGCTCTTGCCCGACGGAGGCGGGTCCGACATTTTTTCGGAACGGGGGGGATGCGGCAAAATTAATTGCAAACCAAGTGGTTAGACCCAGAGGGTGCCTATGAACGTTCTGAGGAGGTAGACCCCTTTTTACCCCCCAAAAGCCATTCTGATGATGTACCAAGGGACCCTTTGGGCAACAAAATGTCCTCCATTTCCCTTTTTGGGACCTCTAAAAGTGGCAGCTTCAATGGAAGCCACCGGTAGATTGCAACTTTTGAAGGGGAAATCCCGTGACCCCTGCCCAAAGTGCAGATTGGAATGGTGTTTTTGACTCTTCGGCTACGCTTTTTGCATTCAAGGAAAGCCAACACTTCACTCTTGCCATGTTTTAGGTGTTTATGTTGTTTGTTTCGGACTGCAATGTCACTTTTTGGGCTGGGTCATCATTTTTGTGTCAAACAAAAGGGGTCCATGGAGGTCCATTGAGGGTCCAGGGAGCTTGTGGCCTGGACGATTTTATCTAGGGGTTGAGTTCTTTTCAAAAAAAACCAGCCATTTCCCCCCAGGGTTTTTGGTGGTTTTCTAGAAAGAAGGATCCCTGGAAAGAATGGGGAAGTTACCCCTAGATTTTAGGGGAAAACACAGAGTGAGGCTACATTTTTGGACCAACCCGCTCGATCGGAAGTGGGCTTTCATTCCATTTGCGGTTTAGAGGTCCGCGTCATTCAACCTTCTTGGAACGACTCTAAGAAGGCTCCCTGAAAAGATTCGTTTAGCCATCACTTCCATTTGCGCTTCAGATATCTTTCATTCTCCCTGGTCGGTTTTGAAAGGAATCTATCACTACTGCAGGGTCCAAGGGGGTGGGGGGGGTGCCCAAAGGCTCCGGGGGCTGTCAACTCCCCGCCCCTCCGCAGCGATTCCCAATCCTTTAAAACTTGCCGCTGCTCAGGGAATGGCCCGGGGTGTTGGGAGTCAACCTAGGGATGCCCTTAAGAGAAAGCACATCGGGGATGGATTTTGCCGGCGGCATTCTCTCATTCCGTGCATCTCCCCAACCAGCAAGAAGACCAACCAGCCCGAAAAGGCCTAAGCCGCCAAAGGACCAGTTTCTTTTCTTTGCCGAAATCATCCTTTGAAACAAGCAACAACAACAACAACAACAACAACAACAACAACAACAACAACAACAACAACAACAACAACAACAACAACCTAGAGTCTCCATGACCCTTTAAAAATGGGGTCATTACCCTAAATACTGGGTTCATGGGCCTATTTTTGATTCGGGTCATGGAGACTCGCAGTTGACCACAAAGGCAGCAAAGAAGCGGTTGACCACAAAGGCAGCAACAAAAGCGAAGATCGGTCCCTTCAAAAGGCACAAACATAGGTCCATGACCAACCATTCTTTCGGATGACCAACCATTTTTTAAGGGTCAGAAGGAGACTGCACGGGGGTCGCAACCCGAAGTCCCGGGATCCGAGGGCTTGGCCAGCCTTACCTGGCCTCCAGCGCTGGCTGGACCGCCGCGCAGCTGCGCATGGCCACGCTCATCAAGGCGCGAGCCGCGCCGGCGATGCAGCGCGGATCCGGAGGATCCGGAGGACTCTGGAGGTGGAAAAAAAGGAAAATTAGGTATCCCAGAGGGCCCCTTGGTACTTCAAGAGGATGGGTCTTGGGGGGGTAAAAAGGGGTTGTTCAGTACCTCCTTGGAAGGTAATTGGACCTTGTGGGTATGGGTCGGGAAGATCGCAACGCCAAAATCGGTTGCCCTGTGGAAACATGGACCAGAACCTGCGGGGCCCTGGTATGTTGATCCATACCCAAATCGCTGGAGCTGAAGCCGCAAATGTTTGCAGCTTCCCCCCAAAAAGGGGTAGTCTTGGGCCCGGCGGGAAGGTAGGGGTTGCCCATTTACCCTCTACAAGAACCAGGGAGTCAACCACCAAAATCAATTACCAGCACCCTCCGACTACCGTCTAAATTTTATTTTCGGAACTACCGGGTATTTGGCAGTAGTTCCGAAAATAAAATAAACGACAGTAGATCCGCGATCTACGGTCGTTTCATGTGGCCCCAAAAAGTGAAAAACAAGACCACGGGGTGACACGGTGGCACGGGGTGACACACAGGCGACACGGGGTAACACGCAGGCGACACGGGGTGACACGGGGGCGACAGGGGGCGACACGGGGGCGACACGGGGGCGACACGGGGCGACACGGGGGCGACACGGGGGCGACACGGGGTGACACGCTCAAACGACAGTAGTTCGCAGCGATCTACTGTCGTTCTGGGGGGGGCGACACGGGGGCGACACGAGGTGACACGGGGGCGACACGGGGGCGACACGGGGTGACACGCAGGTGACACGAACTGACACGGGGTGACAGGGGTGACAGGCTGTGAGTCGCTTGCTGCACTTGCTGCCACCCCTTGATTGCTACCACCCCCGCTATGGCATCTCCCCGTTGCAAACAGTAGCTAGCAGTACTTAGACTATGGGCATCCCGCAAATAAAACAATTGACAGTAGTTTTTCTAACTACGGTTGTTTTGGGGAAATTTCTATCTACTGCCGTTTGGGCAGTAGTCGGAGGGTGCTGGTAGGGAATGGCTGATAATCTTCCAACACTTCCTGAGTTTGTGGACTTTCGTCACTTTCTGAGTTTGGGCCACTTTGCTGGTAAACAAACAGTTCGGACTGTTTTTGGCCAATCCATTTCGCCACTGTCAAAGTCCCCCATAAGTGGTGGCTGTAAGGAAAACCGCCAATTCCAGCTTTTGACTTCAAACCCCAGAAACAGTCAAAGTAAGGACACCAGAGCTTGTGACGGACATTTATCGCGAGATGCAGGACGAGTTTTTTCCAGTAACACATAGAAAACGAGTTGGACCGGGGGTCCCCAAATTTTAGTAAGGACATGATGCATATTTTAGGAATCTGCGCATGCCATTATGGTGGATTCTCAAGTATAGTGGTTTGAATGGGTGATTCCCTTCCACAAGCCAAAAGGGAGGCTGCTGTTTGAGAAACAGATCGGTGCCCTTTTTGCCCCCCCCCCCCCAACAAAAAGGAACCCCCACCACTTGTTGTTTGCTCTGGGCGAGTTTGCCTTAAAAGGGATGGTTTGGGGGTGATTTGGTCCACCATACTGTGGATGGACGAACGGATTCGGTCCCACCACTGAACAAGCCCTGGATAAATTCGATCCTCCCGGTAAATATGTTATGGTTTCATTTGCAGGGCTTCGCAGTGGTGCGAGAAGCGGAGCGCGCAAAAATCCACAGTAGGGATTTGTGTGTTTAAGAATTTGTTGTGATACATCCGGTCGCTCGCTTTTTGGTAGCCCAACCCGAACTCTGCGCTACAACCTGCAGCCCTTGCCTGAAGAGAAGCGCCTCAAGCGGATCATCCAGCGTAGCGATCTCACTAGAGACCCCTCTTGAACGAAACCACATTTGTTGTGATGCAAAGGGATCCATTTTCAAGTGGGAAAAAGCTGATGGACAACGTCAAGGGCAGGGATGGGTGGTTTATTAACCATTGTCACCCCCAAACACCAAAACTTCATGTTGGCAATAAGTATTGACAGTGGCTCACGCGCTTGCAATACGAAGGGATTCCATCTTTCTTCCGGCTGCAAAGCCTCTAATTTCAGACTCTGGGGAGCCATACCTAAGGGACGGGCTACTCACTGCTCGGTTCTGGAACTCCACAAAAACGGGACCTGCCCCGCCCGCCGATCCCTAGCCCGTTTTTCAACAACCAACTGCTGAAATCGTTTTGGGGGTCGATAGGCCCAGAGAAGCTCCGGTGGTCTGGCGCAGCTTTTCAGGGAGGGTTCCGGAGATTCGGCTCCAGGAAATTCTGGGGCTGTGGATACCACCTGCCCTGGGGTTGATTCCCCATTCTTTTCAATCATCGTTCTTCTCAACATCCTGCCGGTTTCCCTGAATTTCTGGAGGTTTGCTGGAAAGATTCGGATCCCTGGGTTCAGAATGGACATGGAAGGTACCCCTCGACTTTTTGGGGCTTTGGGATCAGCTGCAAATCAAATCGTTTCGGTGGCCTGGAGGCCTAGTGGACAGTTTAGGCATCCCCAGATCTCCGTCGAAAGCTACCCGAAAAGCGAAGCGACAGGTCGCTTCGCTTTGTCCCTCATCCGTGGTTTCCCTAAGCGGTTTCCCTTTGAAACCCAGGGGGGTGTACCTTTCGGCTCCAAAAAGAGCACCAAAGCCACAGCAAGAATGCTTCCCCCAAAACCCCTCCCAAAAAGCGAGACATCAACGGGTCAAGCCAGCGACAGGTGAACGGCCGCGTGGCGAAACCCAGCCCGGGCGCCTATGCTTGTTCCTTTTCTAGGTTTTGCAGTAGTGCCCTTTTACTCCTTTTGGGGGAGGGTTCCCCCTACTAATATAGACTACAGAAAAAAAGGGTACCCTTATTCTATCCTCTCTACTGGAGGACCTAGTTTTTTTGGGCTGTTCTGCCAGCGAATTGTGTGGCTCAACTTTGGCTTTTAGGCTTTTCGTCGGTTTAGTGGTTGGGTTTTCAGATTTTTTACCCACAAGTTAGTCACTTTTAGTAGGGGATCTGAAATGTTAGCAGCTGAGTTTGTCTGTTTCAAGGGAAACCACCAGTCAATTGCAACTTTTGATTTGCGGAATTCCAATGACCACTGATAGGGTGTGTCTGCTCAAAACATGTATTCCCCAAATTTTGCCACCTTGAAGTAAATGGAAACAAAGACCTGCGGTTTGCCCTGGCTCTTGAAATTTGAGCGACACACACCAATAGGGGACCTCCTTTAAGCCACTATCCAAAAGGGTCCCTGTTTTGAGAGACCCTGGTGTAACCAGGGAAGTTTGGTAAGAATAGACCTGGTTACCTACTACAGCGGCAACTGGAAGCACTGGGCCACGTTCAATTTTTTAGTCAGGCTGCGGTCACTTTATTCGAAGGGTCGTTTCCCAGTTGCCCAGTGGTGCCCTTTGTTCCTTCTTCTTGTTGGCGTTGGGTTCCCCTTTGAAATCAAGCAACCAAAGGATGCATCCTTTTTGCCCATGGAAATCCACTGGGCATCTGACCCAGAGGGTCCAAGTACCTCATGAGGATGCTTTTGGGGGGTAAAAAAGGGGGTCTAAGTACCTCCTCAGAAGGTACTTGGACCTTTTGGGTCTGGTTTTCCCGCGTGGGGACCGTCGACGGGTTCGGTTCGTTTAGGCGACAACTCCGCGCGGGTGGAGGGCATGAGAGCCCGCTCCAGCTCGCAGCTGGACTTGGACGGGCTGCCCAAGGCGAGAAAACCCCAAAAAACTTCCGAAGTCGCAGGATGTGTTGTTTACCTGGACCGAGCCTCACACTTCCAACTTCAAACATGGGTTATACCAACCCAAAATTATGGGGTGAGTTCCCATGTTTATGGGTTGTTCGAGGGTCCAGGTGCACCTGTTCGTGCTAAAGGGAATCGATTTCACTGCTTGAAATATGTTTATATGGCTGTGGGTCAAAAATATATACCCAAAATGGAACCCTGGTAAATGGAAACAAGGACTCAAACCTGCGGTCCCCTGGTGGATTAATTTCCACCCATACCCATATTGGTCCCATAAAAGTCAAATGGAGCCAGCATGCTCGCAATTTTGTCGGTAGCCATGGGCTTTCGCCATGCTTCGCTTGCCACCCTTGGAGTAAGCCGCGTTGCAGTGGCCGGGTTCAGCCAGCTTCCAGGGTTCCCAGCGTCTCAAAATGGAGCTTTTGGCGGGTTTTTTTGCAGAGCAAGGAGACCAGTCTGAGAAACACCCCCAATCCCCAAATCCAACAGGTTGATAACCCTGAAAATCTTGGGAGCCACAATCATCGACTTGCGCGAATCAGATTCTGCCAATCCGCAGTGTGCTTCCGATTGAAAAAGCATGCCTCTACCTGGGCGCTAAAAAGGCGACAAACATCCAACAGGGACAGTTGGCAATGAAAGCTGCACATTCTGCGCATAGGTGTCATTTCAGGTCAGCTTGGTTGAAAATAGTTTGTGCTGGTTAAGATTGGTTCAGCGCCATCGTTTTTTCCAAGAGGTCACCTATGATAGTGCGTGATTGATTAAGCTGCCCGCTTGTCCAAAACAGATCATACCGCATACGTGTCTCAGGCGGAACCCCAAAGATGCGTGGCCTCCTCTCAACAACCAAGCAAAAGCGGTCCCCTAGAATGAGACACATCCGACTGAGCTGGCTCAAGTAAACCGCGTGGCTTACCTTTCCTCGTCTCCGAGGCAATGGCGGGCGTAGCGGATCAACCCTTGAGGTCTGAATCTGGGCGTTTGGTAACAGTCACTTGTCCAAAGCGAATCGACCGGATCTGACCTTTCGGTTTTTCTGGTTTGGTCCATGTTTTAGTCATGGCCCAGAAATGCTAACCTTATATAATTTCTGGGTCCTTTTGTCAACTGAGTCAAGCTATGTATTATGTTGACCCCGGGTCTAAGTAACACCTGTCCCATTAGTAGGGGATGGGGCCCAGTCCAATAGTGGCCTGAATCTCCACTATCCAGGGCCAACATTAGTAGGCAACAACGGAACTTCCTTTTGAAACTAGCCTAGGTCCCCCACTAGCGCCCTTTTTCCCTTTTGTGACGGAGAGTTCCCCTACTAAAATAGACTACACAAAAAAGGGTACCCTTATTCTAACCTCTCTAGTAGAGGACCTAGCAACAGAGGTGTCAAGGCTTACATTGTATACGGGTCCCTTAAAACTCAACTGAGTTTTGCAGACCCACCGAACTGCTGGACCGCTTGCCAGGTGACTTTACAAAGTGTGGGCGCCCAGACTTTGGTTGTGCGGAGCGGTGACATCGCATGCACTTGTGCAGTTAAGTGTGCAGGTGTATGTGTGTGTGTGTGTGCTCGAGTGTATGTGCTGTGTGTGTGTCTGTCTGTTTGTGTGTGTGTGTGTGTTTGTGTTGCGTTTGTCTTGCGTTTGGGTGGCTGGACCCTTCTGTTCTGGGGGGCCGGATGGCTTGACGGTGAAAATCACGAAAAAGATCCCCAATTTTAAGACACACCCACGAGACCCTTTGGGGGGAGGGCTGAAAGGAAATCAACGGGAAACCAACCATTATGGGGTTCTCCCATCTGAAGACAACTTATCACTACACTTTTTCTGTGTTCAGCGGGCGTTTGCAATTATCTCTGTTGTGATAAAAGGGAAACTTCTTTGTTTGTACTGGTACCTGGACCCTCAAACTACCCATTCAAAAGGGATTTCACCCCATAGTGTTGGGAGAATAACCCATTTGTATAGGTTGAAGGTCCAGGTAGCTCTTTTGAATTTCACTGTTTCACATTGGAGTACAAATTTCACCTGGATCCCCTTCCCCTCAAGGCCTCTCTCAAGTTACAGGTGCGCGCCCCGTCCTTCGTGCAGAAGCCGCGAATTTACATCCAAATTGTTTGCCCTGCTTCTCACTTGCCTGCAAGTGCACAAATGTCCACTGGAAATTAGTTCGGCTTCAAAACTGGCATGTGCAATTCCATGGCTGTTGGTGGGAGGGTAGCTTTCACTTCCACCGTTCGGTTTTCCAGCAACAACAAGCGAGCATGTGTGCGTGTTTTATCCAGCCGGTGCCCTTTCAAGCATGGGCAAGATAAATATTTACTTGGGGAGAGGAGCCTCGTTTTTCAGTGCCATGTGATTTGTGTTGTGCTCACACCTGACAAGAACCCGCCTCGCACTGCATGACTTTGCTTGATTAAGCAATCTCCCCATAGCTTGGGCAAACATTGCCTACTTGGTTGAAGCGGCTGCAATTCGAAAAGAATTGGTTAAAGAAAGCGGAGAGGCATCTTCCCCCAATAGTGGTCATAGGTGATTATATATAGTTTGTCCTGGTCTTTGATGTGACCAAATCGCCCCTTAGACCCTGAGGAAACTCTTGGTTTTCATTTAAGCCTGTCGACATTTTGCAGAGGCAGTTTCAAGAAAGTGTCACACATGCCCTGTGGCCTCCCATTTCTGTTTGGGTGCATTGGCTGAACATCGCCCTGGCCCCAAAGGGTGTGCTTTTCCCATGGGCTGATTGTGGACCCGTCTTGACGCACAGAGTCGTTGCCACCTCAAAAGTGGTGGAAAATCTCCTCGTTCAGCCACCCAAATGAATGTCCGGAACTCAAAGAGTCCGAAGGGTCCGGACCCGGTTCCGGGAGGGTGCCAGGGATCTTATGGGGTTTCTGTTTCATTGAGGGTATGCACCCTTTTTGGAGAGGAATCCATTTGTCCCGTTGGGGTCCAAAGCCACCCCAGATTGTTTGACACATCCTCACCCGGCGGGGAAGCTGTGCGGGTGTGGCCAAAAGACCGAAAAAACCGGTTTCCCGCAATCCTCTCAGATCTGTTTGGTCGATTCGAGGACATTATGAGTTCATGGGCGACGGCATGGTGTGCGAGATCTCCTTAGTCTTCACTGCCCTCAGACCCCTGTCAAAGTTACAGGCGCGGAAATCGGAAAAATGCTTCTGCGAAACTCGAGTTGGAAGGTCGGCCATTCTCAACTCACCTATATAGTGGGTCAAGATTAAACCACCAGGATATGGACCGCAGGTTGTAGTCCATGTTGGCATTTATCCAGGATTCCCTTTTGATAAATAGCCTAAAAGTAAGTTTGCCCTTTTGGGGGTCCTGCACGTTTCCCAACCAGCCAAAGAGTCAACTTGCTGCATGCGGTAGGATCCGCCTGTCTAAGCTTAAGCCCAAATACATATACCCTCATATTCTCTTTGGTGCATTTTGCTTGGATGTTAGGACTTTAACTGTTTGCCAACCAATGGGGTTTCCATGAAACCACTAAAAGTTAAACTTTTAGCAGGGGAGAAGAAAGCAACCGAGTTATATATATATATATATTATGTTTATACAATATGTATACATCATTAGATTCATCATGTGGGTATTGCCTTTGCAAGAATGCTCTGGGGGTGTCTACCACCTATGTCTCATGCACACTACATACAGCTACAGGTACAAGTACTTATGCTCCGTTTCTTCTTTTTGGGGGTGGGGGGTCGGCGGGGGTATGTTATCAGGGTTCTAACTGTACAGCTGGTTTACTCTGTTTACAACCTAGCCTAACCCAGTGCTTCCAGTTACCACTATAGTAACCAGGCGAAACCATTGTAAACCTAGCCTTTGTTTGAGGCCAAAAAGGGGGGGGGGGGCTTTTTTCGGTGGCTTCCTTTCAGGACATCGAAAGACCCTCTCTTTTTCTTTTGGGGGGGAGGGGGTTCCCCGAATTGATGCACACATGTGTGTGTGTGTGTGTGTGTCCTTTCTGTGGGGTACACCTTTTGTTGCTTTTGGTTTGCAGGGAACCCGCAAGGAACAGGTTTCTTGTGGGTCCCGCCTAAACAACCAAACAAACCTGCATATATATTCAAGTGGTGTTTGCCATAGCCACCTTTGACAAAGACCATGGGGAAGTTGAGCCAATCTAAGGGTGGAAGTACATACCCCTTGTTCATACCCCTTGGCTTGTGTGGTTTCCACTTTATAAGGGGGATATGGTATGAACATCAGCAGGCCTCTCAGGGGTTCATTTGTCCAAGGGGTATGTACAAGCACCCCTGGAGCCGAAGATTCTGTAGGTGCGATTCCCTCTTTTTGTCCCCCGAAAGGGTCGTTTTAAGCATACCTGTTGGTTGCCAACGAACATGCGGAACTTGTGGTGTTCCTGTTGGTTCCCGTTAAAACCACCAAAAGAAAAAACAAAACAAACTCATATGGCTACTGTATCAATTCTAATAGGGGGCCACCTGAAAAGTGGTTGGTGGACATGAATCCCCACCTAAATGATGTCCACCAAAGGGTCCCCAATTAAGATTCAGGCCTGTAGCTTCCGTTTGGGGCCAGGTTTAAGCGTGAAATATGTCAAATGTTTGGCGCCCTGCCAGTAGAGTTAATAGAAGGGAGGCCTTCCTGGCTTCCCCACTGCCCGGCTGTATCGGCTGCCCCCGAAAAACCCGGGCAACTACACAGGGCTCCTTAACACATACATTTTGCCCATTTGAAACATGTTTTTTTCCACAAAAATAAAGGGAAACCACAATTTACAAGGCAATGTTCAGGTGTATAATGTAAGGATCCCTGCTACAAGGAGCCCATTGAGGAAACAACAACACAGCTTGCAACCTTATCCATGATGAAGGCTCTCTTTTTGGAAAGCCTTTGAGCTTGGGCTGCAAGTTGTTGAAGCTTAAGTTAGTGGCAGTTTGGGCCCCCGCCCCCCGCATCCCTACCTATGGACGGAGACTTTGTCCCAGTGGGGATGGAAGAACCCTATGCATATGGCTGTGGCTCAATAAACCGTGGACACATGGACCAAAACCCGCGTAACCCCTCCAGTTTAATTTTCATATTGGGAGACAGCTACCAGGGTTTCCGACTTGTAGATTGGCCGAATATTTTTGGGCAGGTCATCAGTTTCTCAAGGATTTGCGTTGCAGTGGGAGCCATGGACTGGGGTGTGGGTGTGCCGTGTGGGTGGGGGGATTTTGGCGGGGAAAAGCACCGTTGGTGAGTGGGAATCACGAAGTCTGATTTTTTCACCCAAAGGGTTTTCTTGAGAAAAAAAAGCACGCTTATATGGACGTGTCCTTTTTTAGGGGAGCCCATGTTGGCTTTTTAGGGTCTTCCAAAAAAATCTCACTTATATGGACCTGTCCTTTTTTCGGGGACCCCATGTTGGCTGTTTTTTCCTTTTGGCTTTCCTGCAAACCCCGCCAAAAGAGGGGTACCAACTCAAGCAAAGACACCCATACATGGGAAACCAACCGGGGACTACTTCCAAAAACATAGAAAGGCACCGGACCCCGCTCACCTCTTTGAGTTGTATGTTTGGCGAAGGTCGGCTGAACCAACCTGAAAAGGGTGGCAGAAATTTGTTCCAGACCTAGCGTTGTTCCAACAATGGACATGGACGGGTGGGTCCTTTGCAAGAGGATGGAAGTCTCCCAAAGTCCTTTCCACTTCCTAGGATTGGACATGCTATTTTGCAACCTAAAGGACAACTTATAAATTTGGTAGCATATGCAAAGGTTGCAGTAATTCCTAGGCTTCCTATAGTCCTAATGAAACAAAATAGAACCAAAGTGACGCCAGGGGGAAACCAGTCAAACCCTACTGCTGAAGTCCTTTGTCTACTGAAAGACGCCAACTTCTGGGGAGGGGAGGGGAAGACTCCGCCAGGTGTGGCTGGATGCTGAAGCCGCCCACGGCTCGCTCCGCAAGACGCGAGGCGGCGGAAACAGGGACGATGGTCCTTCGTCGGTGGGCTGTGGCCGGTTTTTTTTCTCCCTGTTTTGTGTTTTTTGTCTTTTGTTCTTCTTCTCTCTATTCTATTTGGGGCTTCCGACATTCCTTGGCCTCGCACAAAAAAGAAAAAAGAGTCAACATCAAGCTAGTTGGGTCAGGGTTCCCTAGATGTATCGTTGCGGTGGCACACGTCGCCGTTTTGGGCCGGTTGAAGGTGAGTTGCCCAAGGCGAAATTTCGGGAACCCTGGCTCCTGCGAGAACTGACTGGGGCCCCTGAGGCTCCGTCTTTGAGTCAGTCCCTTTGAGAACCCAAAATGGTGCACAAGGGCCTTAAGAGGCTACCCCTCCCAAATGCTACGGTAAAACATGGACGATTTTCGCGATTTTCGAAATTTCCGGAAAAGTCCCGAAATCTGGACCCTGCGAGAAAGAATGGACCATGGTTTGGGCACAGACCATGTTTGCTCCCTAAATTCCCTTTGGAACCTTTGGCCCTGCTGCAATTCCGTGGGTCGAATGGGGTGGGTGCCTTTACTATCGTCATCACAGGAGAAACATGTTACCTAGACTCTCCATGACCCGAATCAAAAATGGGTCCATGACCCCATTATTTTGGGTAAGGACCAACTATTTTTCAAGGGTGACTCTCCATGACCCTTTAATCAAAAATGGGTCCATGACCAGCCATCATTTTGGGTACTGACAGTTCACCCATTTTTGAAAAATCGTGGAGACTCCAGCTAGTCATGTCCCGCATATGAGTCAACCTCAGAATTATCAAAGACCACTTTATCAACGGCGTTTCATTCAATACTGGTTTTTTGCATTTTCCTTGGAGAACGATAGGGGACTCACAAAAAACGATACCCCTGAACATGGTTTGTGCTGGACCTTCGAGCTGGAGCTGCCGAAGTCTAACTTGTGTACCGTGCCTGTACTGAAAGCTGCGACTTGCGACCTGGAGGTTGCTGCCAGCAAGCAAAAGCCGCTTAGACTGACACGTGACCGCCGCAAGCTGCGACCTTCGAGCTGGAGCTGCCGAAGTGTAACTTGTGCACTGCGCTTGTGGTGAAAGTTGCGACTTGCGACCTTGAGGTTGCTGCCAGCAAGCAAGCCGCCAAGACTGATATATGATTACCGCAAGGCAGAGAAGGCTATTGTGTGTTTGCTTGGCTCTAACAGCTTATGGAAAATTGTGAAAATTTTCGTCACGCGACACACGCCCAGAACGATACCCCGGTCGATACCCCGTCGATACCCCGAGCATTGGCCCGAGTTGCAAATGTGAGGCCTAGTGCATTTGCTTACAAAAGACTACGCGTGTGGTTCCAGTGCTGTGTTTGCGTAGAAAGTTTGTCGGGTGCTTTTCGAGTTCGCGCGGCGCTATAGGGGTTTGCGTAGAAAGTTTGTTGGGCACGCGTGGTCACCGCGAAGAGGGTTCACCGGGTTCACCGGGCACTTTCCAAATTCTCACGGAGTCGCAGCGAGGGCGCTTTGACAATCCTCGCAGAGGGTTCATTGGGCACTTTACGAATTTGCACGGCGCCACAGCGAGAGCGCTTGGGCGCGCAGGATCACTGCAGAGGGTTCACCGGGCACTTTCCAAATTCGCACGGCGTCGCAGCGAGGGCGCTTTGACACGCGCAATCCTCGCAGAGGGTTCATTGGGCACTTTACGAATTTGCACGGCGCCACAGCGAGAGCGCTTGGGCGCGCAGGATCCCTGCAGAAGGTTCATCGGGCAGTTTTAAAATTCGCACGGCGTCACAGCGAGGGCGCTGTGGCACGCGCAATCCTCGCAGAGGGTTCATCGGGCGCTTTACAAATTCGCACGGCGCCACAGTGGGAGCGCTTCGAGGCGCGCGATCCCTGCAGAGGGTTCATCGGGCACAGCACGAGTACGCGAAACGTGGAGAACGATAGGGGACTCACTAAAAGTAGAATGAATACACCCCACGCAGCAAATATAGACGCTGGCTCATATATCGGGGTTGGAAAGGAGAAGGTCGGCAGCTCTCGTTTCTGCGAGACTTGCAAATAAAGCGCCATCGCAGGGGTGGTTTCCCATTTGCCCTCTGCAAAAAGGTTCGAATCCCCCAAGCCCTGGGCTTGAGCCCCCATAGACCCTGCCCCTTGAGCAGGAGGGTCCAAACCAACACATCCGCCAAGCACCTTGGAACCCGACCGAATCCAGGCTTGCCCCAACAGGGGCGGATTGAATGCAGAGCTGGGAACACGTTGCAAGCCCTCCCACAAAACATGGCTTGGTGAAGGGCGCAATTATTGTGCTTTCCAAGAATGGGTCTGTTCAAAACACCTGGCTGTCCTTTGCAGGGATCCTTCTCGCAGAATGTGTCAATGACACATGGGGTCGTGAAAGCTCATTCCATGAGTTCCTGGACTTCATACTTTGGTGAATCAAATTGAGTTGTTTTTGGCCAATCCATTCGACTGGACGTGAGAAAGAGTGAAGATGGAGAATCGACCCTCATAAATTTCCGTCCGGTCCGCCGGAAGCTGACATAGAGCAAAAGATCAGTTTGGGCCCCACACCGTTGACTTGTGTTTTTGTTTCTCTCAAAATTGGGAAGCCTTCCAGATGGTGTCCTTTTGGTGTTCATGTAAGACCATCCAGGGATTTGGAGTGAGACACCACCCAAAAATAGTTGTAAATACCGTAAATACCTCGGACCTTGAAGAGTTCCCTTCAAAGAAGTGCCACTTCACTGAGTTGAACCTGGATTTTCCATGCAAGTTTGATGTGGGGCGCCCATTTGGATGTTTTTCTTTTGGTTTTTTCAAGAAAAGCAACACATGGAAACACACCTAGCGATCGGCCCATGTTGGGGATTGCCTTTGAGACAGACTCATTACCGTGCATCTTTTGGAAAAAATGTTGCCCTCTGGGTGTTTTAATGTTCTGAAAGGAAGGACTCCTGGTAAGAATGGTTGGAAGTTTGCCTTGCAGCGAATTGCCTGGACCTTCAAAGGACCGATAATTGCCTTGGTATCACTTTTGTGTGGGTCATTTCGGCAGAAGAAGATCGGAATCGGGGCATTGGTCGTGTTCGGCTTTCCCAGGCCCATCCGATCCCATTTGAGTCGATTGATTTGAGGTTTCCGCCGCGGATTTGAGGTCAGCCCAACTTCCTCCCAAAAAAGGGATGCCCAGCAGCCAATTTTTGCCATCTCCTTTTGGTGAAACGCATCCGCCGGCTCCCTTCTTGGAACCTCCAAAGTGGAGTTTGCAATGGACACCACTAGTCAACTGCAACTTTTGAACGGGAAATCCAGTGACCCCTTGGAACAAGTGACTTGTTCGTTGATCACTTGGTCGGATCTCCCTGAAATGGGTGGTTTCAGGTTCCCTTAAGCAACCCCAAGAGATACCCCGAAAGCGGCCATCTCAAGGGTATGTGTCAAACTAAGACACCATGTCGACCACCCAAACAATGTTAAGCTCCAAAGAAACACCCACACACACCCACACACACACACACATTTCTCTTTGCAGAGGGTTGTTAATTGCTTGTCCCGGTATCCCACCCAATAAATAACACCTTATCTTCGAAACTTGCCCTGTCAAATACGAGTTTCTTCTTAAGGCGCGGGTTTACCCTCGCAATGCTTACTCCCGGAGTTCCGGGACTTTAGACATGTCTTTGGGTTTGCGCCATTCCATATAGAGTTTCAACTTGATCCGCTCAGCAGGTGAGTCACAAGCGGGTCTCTCTTTTGTTTTAGGGAACCCCCAAAAAGTCTTGTTTATTCCCTTTGGCTTCCCGTTATAAACCTACCGAAGCACGGGGTACCTTTCGCCTCCATATATATATATAAAAAGGGGGGGAAAAAATAAACGCCGCCGGCGCCCCCCGCCACCCCATTCGCACGCTTGCGAAAGCGGGCAGGCGATTTCCGGGCCGGCAGCTTCGTCCCTGGCTCGCAGGGCCGGGTGCTGCGCGTCGCCTCAGGACCCGTGGGAAACGTCGCCAGGCGTTTTTGGGCGCGACTTGTCCCTACATTCCCCCAGTTTAGTAGTGCCCTTCTCTCCCCTTTTTTTGGGGGAGGGTTCCCCTACTAAAATAGAGTACAGAAAAAAGGGCACCCTTATTCTAACCTCTCTACTGGAGGACCTTAGTTTCAGCATGCATTTCAAGGAAGCCAAATCGTGGAGGCTTGATCTCGATGTCTTTTCATTTCTCCTTCCCTGCCTTTCGAAGCGGCAAGTGTGTTGGTGATTAGTCTTCTCGTTTTGCGGTTCTGTCGGTTGCTATAGGTTCGTCGTTGTTTGGTTCTGCTCATATCTTCGGTGGGAGGCAAGAAAGAACCGCAGGATCCGGGTTTCCGCAGCGGTTGTTCCTTGGGCGAAGACTTCACGACATCCCGTTCCGGAAAGGGTGTGTGTGTGTGTGCGACGCCCTTGGAAAGGAACTCCTTTCTTTTTCTCAGGATTTTTGGAAGTGCCCTTAGCAAATCGTGTTTGCTCAACATTATGATGTGAGGCTCCCTTCGGTGAATGATTGGGTAATGTGCGCCCAGAAACCCAGAGGCTTCCAGGGTGAGGTGTGAATGTCTCCCGAGGTCTATAGGGTTGACGAAATAGGAATCATACTCCAAATCTGGGGTCGAATGTTTCTTCTCCCAACGGGGGAGATGAGGGGAAGCCTTGAGTGTGGATATGGGTTTTGCAGATTCCATTGGGGTACCACCTTCAGCTGTTTTGGAGGGGTCCCTTGAACACAGCCCATACATTGTTCAAGATTCGTTGAAGATGGACCAGTTTCCAGCTACTGAAGCTGCTTGTAAGTGGTTGTTCCGTGTTTCCAAGTAACTGGGTGCATTTTTTTAGCAGGCCCTTTGGTGGATATCAAACTTCGGTCGGGATTCATGTCCCTTTAGAGGTGACTCCAACTCTTAAGAGGATCATACCTGGCAAGCGGTTGCAACTCGCGCAGCTTTCGCGGCCACCCCGACATGGGAGGGGCCTTGAAACCACGGGGACTGATCGGATGGTCAAATACAAAGTCAGAATCCAAGAAGCAAGTGAACCATCCATCAGCCTTGGTCCCAGCCATCTGGTTCCTTAGCTGTTTAGATTTTTAGGGTTCAGTGGCAGCCCTGAAATTCGGGATCTGAGCACCGCCCAGTTAGGTGTTTGGCTTTTTATTGTTGGCTTGGTAGCAAGCACTTTTGCCCTGATTCCTTAGGGTCTTTTAGATCTTTTGAGCTGGTTCAGTGGGGGGGATTCCTTAAGCCCACCAAAAGTGGAACTGTTACCAGGGGATCTGACAGCACAGGCCCGCGACCACGGTGTGAGAATCCACCCAATGCTTCTAGTTACTAGCTACCAGTTAAGACAGATAGTTATCCTTGAACTCTTGCCGGGCTTCTGTATTTTTCTCTTGTTGCTGGTTGTCATTGTTATTTTGTTCCTTCCTTGGTTTTATTTGTTTCTTCCTTTATGTTCTTTTAATTTTATTTTACGTTCTTTCTTTCTGTCTTTATTTCTTTATTTATTTCTTTATTTTTTCTTTCTTTCTTTTGACTTTCTTTCTTCCTTCCTTCTTTCTTTCTTTCTGTCTTTCTTTCTTTCTTTCTTTCTTTCTTTCTTTCTTTCTTTCTTTCTTTTCGTTCTGTTGTTTTCTGTTCCCACGGGATCGTTACCTTACCTGCAAGTCTAAAGTTTTGGGTTGCTCCGCTCGGATCTTGGAAACAGCAACGCCGGCGTCTTGATCCGGAGCAGAAACTCCGAAGAAGGTTTCGCCTTTTAAGGAACATTTACCTGGCTCAATGGGGCACATGCTGTGGATCGACAAAATCCTACATTAGTTGGGATGGATGAAACCCGATTTGAATATTGATACAGTTACCCCAAACCATGCAGGTATGGGCACATAGTTGCCGAACCTGAACCCATAATATGTCGGTTGTCTGGAAAAGGCCTTGAGTTTCCACCAGGATTAGGGAGAAGCCTCCCCCCCCCCGCCCCGAGATGATATTTTCCTCTTGGCTTCGAACCAACCCGAAGATATTACGCTCAAGAACATCCACACCCAACTGGGAACCCTGAACTCAACCCTTATAATGTTCTATAGCGCGTGGTGGTTGATACGCCCTCCAAGACACGCGCCCAACTTGCAAGTGAACCAACCACACACGAATGGATTTCCTTCTAGGTGCCCCAGTAGTGCCGCTCTCTCCTTTTCTGGGTTCTCCAACTAAAATGGGCTACAGAAAAAAATCGGGTACCAACTTATTCCAGCCTCTCTACTGGAGGACCCCTTGTTTCCTGTCCATTTTTTTCCCACCAACCCTGGGAACCCTGAATAGAACCCTTAGAATGTTCAGGAACCAGAGGCGGTTGACACGCCCACCACACAAGGGGATTTCCTTGTTCCCCATTCAATGTCCCACCCTTTCGGGAAGGCGACGGCTACATTTTCATCTTCTCCCCAGCAGAGGGCAGCGCCGCCCTGGTGGACAACGAGCTCACCGCGGTGTCGGCCGCTCGCCGGCCGAGGGGGATCGGAGGCGGAGAAAAAGGCGGAGACGTGTTTTGGGACATTTCCGCTGTGTGTGCGTGTGTTGTTTTTTTGAGAGTAGCCTTTTTGGGGCTCATGTCCTTTGTGTGTGGTTTTTTTGAGGGTAGCAACTTTTCCCAGTTGCCTAGTGGGTTGCTTCCTTTTTTCCTTTGTTTGGGAAGGGTTCCGATTCCTTTAAACTCAACCAACCAAGGATGCCCTTTTTTCCCATGGTCACCGGGCATCTGCGCTTTTGGGCTGGTTTGAAGGGAGAGCAAAGGCAGAACTGACGCCATTTTCTGTTGGGCCCGAAGGATTTGGCACATGCCCGTTTCTTAGGGTCCGTCGGATCGGCACGGCCTGGGGCAGGGGCTTGTGACTTTCTGAACTGCAAACTCAAATTCACAAGACAGAACAAAACATGAACCCCAACAAACGCAATACATATGTACATAATTCGGCCAGGTCCAAGAAAACATGACATGAACCCCAACAAACGCAATAAAGATGTACATATAAAGATGTACATGATTCGGCCAGGTCCAAGACAACATGAACCCCGACAAGCGCAATCAAGATGTACATGAGCATTCACCTAATCATTTACCATAGTAACGATACTGAGAAAGGGTCACCAACTTTCGGGAACTTCGATCTATGGTGCGCAAAATAAGTTCCAAACCGCTTAGACTAGCACTTCGGTTGGAAGAGTTCGCCTGCAAGATCCCACGGTTTGCACGACCCGCTTTGGGGCGATAAATGGGTCTAGGGCTACCTGATCCAACTTTCTAGAAAACCTCCGGAATCCGAGGGAAAACGGATCCGATGTTTGAGACAAGAAGGATGGGAATCAAGCCCTGGAGTGGGGCGAATGGAACGGGTCAGGGCCCAAAGAACTGCGGCGCCAGCGAGTGAGCCAACAGAGCCCAGCCAGGGTCACCCACTGCCAACTTGGTAGCTAGGTTACCATGGACAGGGGTGGTCCCAACCCCTGCCCTGGCTAGCATGATTATACCCTACGTACTAAGTTGGCTGGACATCCAGGTACTCGGTTTCACAGAGTTTGTGTTGGTGAAGTGCAGTTCGGCGAAAGTAGATGGCACAGCTCCCCCAGTTTGGGGTTTCGTCGTCGTTCCTTGCCAACAGAAAGCCAATAAAGCCATACTGTGGATGGACGAAATCCTGGACCACCTAAGAAACCCTGGAATGGTGATTCGCCTGTAACTTTCAACGAACAATGGTTTCCCATGGCTTCAAAGTGTGTAGGATTGTGTCCATCCACAGTATTATTGTATGGACAAACTCCACTTCGCGCTAGTTGGGATGAATGAAATCCTATTGAATACTGAGATTCACAACCTACCATCTGGAATTTCGTCCATCCCGCAATAATTTGTGTAGGAAGATATAGCGCAGATACAAAATCCTTCGGACTGGTCACTCACTCCCTTAGTGCCGCAGACTCAGGCTAGCACGAGCGGCTCAGATGGGGCCATCTATGCGCCCCGGACGAGTTGTTGTTTTGCCGAGGTGGCGGGCTCGCGTTGTTCCTTGTTTGGTGGTTCTAAACATTCCTCACTCTCTGAGTTTTGGACTTACTACTTTTTAGGAAGACCATTGTAGCGGCAAACAAAGAGTTCGAAGTTTTATGCAAGCTAGGTATATATATATAACTATGCATCCTCGCATGTATATGCAGATAGAACATACTCATATATACATAGCTATATGTTTACGCATGCCATTGTTGTTTGATCCGAAGTATTGTGGCGTGCAGCTAAAAGCTCGCCGATCGGAGACAAAAGGGCTCACCCAGGCCGACGATTCCTTACTTGGGTTCTGCATGCTCAGTCAGTATGTGGAGAAGGTTCACGTTCGATCAAACCTGATTCCTCAATCAGAGGGGGTTGTGACAACTTCCATTTGCTTAAGAAGTCTTATTTTTGCCCCTGCTCTTGAGCAGGCTTTTCCAGACGTCTCCGCCAATTTGAAGGGCCCAATCTGAAGGCTCTCAAGCTCGATTTGCCCCGAGGCCTTGGGGTTTGCCCGATGTCCCCTCTAAGTGAGGCTAATGGCCAAGGGAAACCCCGGAAAGTAGAACCCCTCGTTGATTTTGATTTGGGGGTGTCCCCGTTTAGTGCGGATTCAGACCACTTTTGGAGGGGACACCCCCCCTTTTAATAGGACATATTAATTAATGTGCGGTAACACTAGCCTAATCGCTTTGGGCTTTTTGCTGGAGTAAAGGCCTGAATAGCTCAATTTCTCGAGGATACCCAGTGAATGACTTACTCCCCAGATGCACATGGTCCCGAAGAAAATACTGATTGGATCAATCCGATTCAGAGGAACCCTCTTGGGAATCCCCCGGCTGGTACGATCCCCTGAAATCCGAAGTTGACATGTTCACCCCAGATGCATTTTTTCGCCTGGCTAGTTTGATAAGGCGGTGTCCGCACTAAAGTTGAGAGTCTGGATCGCTTTCGTGGGTGACACCCCCCCAACAAAACCTAGGATGGGTGGATTAAATTAAGCCAACGTTGATATTATTTTGACACATACGCAACAGAATGGGCAAATACAGTGAACGGCAATTTACCATCAATTCAGCATTGACTGTGGCTGGTTTACTTGTGATGTGAAGGGCATCCACCGCAATGTGAAGCCCGGATTAATAAAGCCCTGGTTGATTAATGGGAGTGCCCCCTCCAAAAGTGATGAATCCCCACAAAATGGGAACACTGTCAAAATGAACCAGGGGTTCTACTTACATCCGGGGTTCCCATTATCAACCATAAGGGTCAAGAAGTGATAGCTCCTCCTCCAACCCTCCTTTGTAGGGTCCATGATCCACCGTGCTTAGATATTCAACCACCCTCAGGTAAGTAGTTTATAACCATGGCCAATTATAAGGGGACCAACCCCAATTACCTAGGTGATGACCATGGTTACCTGACGTTGCTTGGACATCCAAGTAGCGGATCATTTCCCAAGTGATGGCCCATGGAATTCCCCTTGGAATTGGACTTTCACCCAAGATCATTTCTTTTTGGACTTCCATGTTCCGTTTCCCCTGAGGTCTCCCGTCTCCCGTCTCCCTCCCCGATTTCAACACAAAAAGACTACAAACCCAAAAGCAAAACCAAAAAGAAGAAGAAGAAGAAAGCAACCAACTCGGGGAACAAAAGAAAACAAACACAAAAACAAAAACACAAAAAGCAAAATAAAGCAACAAGCTCGAAAAACAAAAGAAAACAAAAACAAACAAAAAAAAGGCGAACCCCCGAGTCCTGCGAGGTACCGGTTGGGGCCATGGACCAGGGCGAGACCCGCGAGCTGAAGCTCTACTTTGCGGTCCGGTGGCCCAGTCCGGCGTCGATCTGCGAGTCGAGTGGACGGGGATTTGTTACGTTGGTTTGTTTATTTTGTGTTTTGTTTTTTTTGGTCGATATGTTGTCTTCTGTTGTTTTTTTTTGCACGTCGTTTTTTCCCTCGAGATTTTGTCGTTCTTTGTTTGTGTGATCTTTGGTCTTCCGGATTTGTGGCTTGGGACTTGTTTTTTCTCCGGGTGGTTCGGAGCTTTGGTGGGTTGACACCTCCGAAACTTTGCCCAACAGATCCTAAGTTGTTTGTCAGGCAGGTTGACACCAACCCGTGAAGAATCCGCCAAGAGATCTTGAGTTGTCTTTCAGGCAAGACGAATGAAGCCGAATCTGAGCATACATGTTTTCCTGTTTTTTCTCCGTGAACTCGAGAAGCGGGGCAAGGCTTGGTGTGGCAATCAAGCAAAGTTCGGTGGCTTGCTCGTTGGCTTGTTTGGTGTGGCGTGTTGATTGGTGGGTGGTCGTTGTTTGTTTGTTTGTTTGTTTGTTTGTTTGTTTGTTTGTTTGGTTAATTGTTTGTTTGTTCGTTCGTTTGTTGGTTCGTCCGTTCGTTTGTTTGTTTGCTTGTTCTCTGGTGTGTTGGTTTGTTGGTTTGTTGGTTGGTTTGTTTGTTTGTTTGTTTGTTTGTTCGTTCGTTCGTTTGTTTGTGTCTGGCGTTTTTTGTTGCTGCTTGTCGGTGGAAAGAACACTGCCCTAGCTGAAGAATTCGACGTTGCGTTTCTCGAAGTCTCGGCGGGACTCTCCATGATCCTTACTCTTTGGTTCAGGTTGGCTGCTTTCTTTTGTAGTTCTGGTGTTCTAGTAGTTTGCTCTGTGTGTTCTACCCAAAGGCTCACGACTATTGCCCGGGCCAAATCAAAATGGGTTGCTGTTTGAGGGCCCTGGGCTGTATCGAGGGGTCGGACCCTGGGAGAGTCCATGAGCCACTGGGTAGTTCTTTGGTTTTGGTTGGTTCTGGCTTCGGCTTTTGTTGTTGCTTGATGAGACTCGGGAGGAAGCCTGGGTTTAGGGGCCCAAGTTCCCAATGTAAAATCAAGGGCCCGTAGGTGCACTGTCGAAAGAGACGCAGGTTTCTCGCATTTCCCTTTTGAGTAAAGAAGCTGATTCCCGAATAAAGGAAACCACCAGTTGGATGGTTTATCTCGGGTTCACCTTGCCATTTCTCATTCCCTGCCTATCGCGCCAACACGTTTGAACTTCAGTCTGATCGGCGTTTCCTGTGTACCGCTCTTTGGAAGCTACCGGGGAAATCGAGTGCCTACGGCTTGGATCCGGATCTTTTGGGATGCTTTGAGAGGGTCTCTATTTTAGGTTGCATGGTTTTAAAGGGAAACCAATAAGGAAAAAATCACATTTGGGACCCCTAAAAAATGAGCTTGAATAACTCAGAATACATAGTTTTGTGTGTTTGTTTTTTAAGGTTCGGGAAGCTGAGGTCCCACCAAAATTTGATACACGGGGTTTCAAGCACCAAGCCAAAAAGCACTGAGGGATGAAGCACCAAGCACCCCACAGACCCCTCACCTCACCTCTCAAGGCTTTCATTGCCAAGGCTGATATTCGCTCCCCAAGTTGCCGGACTTTAGCCACTTTTGGGGTGTGGGAGCTAACTTTCCCATTTTTCGGGGATCCTTCTTTCTCCGGAAACACATGGAAACGGCCGGTTCTCGAAAAGAACCATGGAAAGAATGGACCCTTGCAAGGAATCAAGCCTTAGAATATGAGTGGCAAAGACGGTCCACTCAGCTCAGGAAGTACATGGCCAGGGTGGAAGATGGCAGGTTCACAGCCCTCCTTACCGCCTAACGAGGTGGGCCAGATGCCCAACAGCTGGGAAGTCGACGTTGCTGTGACTGGCAGTGGCAAGTAGCGCACAGCTGGTGAGATCACACCACTCAGGTGCTCGCTCTGTCGCCACTTCAACTGGCAGCGACATTTTCGGGAGCAAGCGCCAGCGAAAGTCTCCGTGTTGTGAGTCACACGAAACTGTGGGGCTTCGGAAAGAACACGGAGGTGCTCTGGCGCTGAGCACGTGGGGCTGTGCTAGATGCCGCCGTTGTGAACCGGAGGTAACGGAGGAAGCAGGTGCCCTTGGGCTGCTTGAAAAACAGAAGCCAAAACGAAACCACCCATTTTTTGGGGGAGGGGGGTGCGACAGTTTGATACCTATGTGAGAAACCGCCAGTTGAAGGGTTATTTTTTTTTTAACGACTGCAGAAACAAGGTTCCTCAACGGATGCATCCAAAGACCACCGAGCAAAACTGGATTTTGGACTGGCCCTAGGCTTCCCCAAAGGCCCAAAGGGGGGGGGGAACTCGACTTTTGGCGACTTTCAAAAAAATCTGAACGGGTTTTGAGAGCCCTAAGCATCATTGACCCCTCCATTCAAGAGGGCAGAACCCAAGGTTTTGCACCTCAAAACAAAGCTGTTTTGAGGGCCCAAGATGTTTAATCTCAGGCTTTATCGAGCTATGCAGGGCTCCCCTTAACCTCAGGCTTAACCTCAACCTCCATGGGCCGTTTTGGTGTTTTTGATTTGGGTGGGGGTACCTTGCCCATTTTTTCCAGGGATCCGAATCTTTCTAGAAAACCGCCGGAAACCCAGCAAAATCGCATCCGGTTTTTGGACAGAACGACGCTTGAAAAGAATGGACACGAAATCAACCCCTAGACTTTTTGGTTGCTCGCTCGGTTCCGCTCAGGCCGCGGGCGCAGCCCAGCTGCCGCTGCTGCAGCAAAGGTCTGCGGCACTGGCGCCAGGCAGATGCGACCGCACGACGCGAATCGCTGGTCGTGGGTCCCAGCCGTGCGGTTCCACTAGGTCCCCCAGCTAGGTGCCCTTTGACCGTTCCTTGTTTGGGGGAGGGTTCCCCTACTAATATGGACTACAGCAAAAAAGGTCCTTAGGCTTTTTGGGCGGTTTTAGATATGTTTTTGGTGGTTTGGTGTAGTTGTTGTGGATTTGTTTGCTGGCTATTTGCGGTTTTAGAACTCGAGATGGTTTTCGTTGTTGTTAGTTGGCACTAACATTTGGTTCCTTGGGATTTTTGGGTCTTTTAGTTGGTTCACTGGGGGGAGGTTCCATTTAACCCGAATTCCTTCACATCATTCGACTTATAGCGAATGACGTCCTTCATGCATTTGGCAACCGCGACGGGTGGCGTGCACAAAGCCGTCGGGCGTTGAAGGGTCCGTGCCTTAAAGGCTTCCGTGCACGAGGCATCCGACATGGTGGGGAGAACGTGGAGGTCCGGGAGGGCTGTGACCCCCTGAAGATCTCCTATGAGCATGGCAACAACCTCCTGTGGATCAAGCGCACTTGATGCCAATGTCTGGTCTGGGATCAAGCAGCCAGACGGCCCTCGCCAAGCCCCCAACAGTTAGGTGTTTGGCTGTTTTTAGTTGGTTTGGTGGTAGTTGGCACTAAACTTAAACCCCTGAATGTTCACCATTTATTTTCCAGGGCTGGAGAGGGCCAGGATTCATCAGAGGGAGGCGCAGCCTTGAAGGCAGGTACTTTGTGCGAGCTTGTGAAACCTTATTTTTTAAACAAGTGCAATCAGACATGTGCTGTTTCCGGCTAGCTGTTCTCTTTGGTTTCTGGAATGGCAACCCTTGAGACTATGAAAAGAGGTTATATTGAAAAAAGTATTGCCAATCACCATTTTTTTTTTGGGGGGGGGGGGCGGAATAGCCGGTAGTCTTTAATCAGAGGGGGGTGTGGGAGGCGCCTCCAAAAAACTGATAGAGATGATAGAGGGTTTTTTGGCCAAGCCCTTGTGAGCGGCTTTCGCGCAGTAAGTATTGGCTGGAAGTCGGCTGGGAAAACCGGGCGTCTTTAATCTGAGGGGAATCACCAATCAAGTGCCAACATGGGGTGCTTTAACGAGCTTATTCTCCGTTTGGCGCTTGGGCGCCGGGATGCTTCGTTGCTTGATGTAAAGCAGGGACCCCGGATCAAATCAACCAGAAAATTGCCTTAGCCCCGCGGTGCGTATGAAACACCTGCGTTACTCATCAAGGGGTCCGCGTTCAGTGGGGATTCCTTTATTTCAGGGCGACTGAGTGGGACCCCCGATGAATCGCTTGGGGGGAGGGGGAGGGGGTTCTTAATTAGGGGTCGACATTGCTGGGCTGTTCCTATTTACAGGAAAGGATAATTTATTTGAGGCCAGGATTGGATTTTGAATCTGGGGTCAAAATTACTAAATTTGAGTCTGATGGCTTCTTCGCACATGTTAAATGGGCCTTTTTAAGGGTATGCGTTAACCAAAAGGAACACAATTTGTGGGGTCCCAAAAAAAAGGCCCCGTGAAATGGCTGTGGGTCAAAAATGCGTACCCAAAGTAGAAGCCTGGTAAATGGAACCAAGGACTCAAATCTGCGGTCCAATTCCTGGTGGTTTTATTTTGACCCACACCCAAATATGAATTCCCTGTCAAATGCGCTGCTCCCCGAGTAGGCCCCACCCAGACTTTGGGGCTGGGCCCCTTTGCCTTTTCGGCCAAACACGCATTTCTTGGTGGCGAAGCCAGCCATCCGGTTCCTTAGCCTTTTAGCTTTTTAGGGTTTAGTGGGGCTTTCCATTTCACTTTTTGCAGGGGATCTGAGGACTGCCCAGTTTTGCGGAGGTCTGTGTCAACAAACAAATTAACAAAGCCAGTGGATAGTTCATGCCAGGGTTCAGATATGGCTGTGTTGTTTGTTGGGCCCTCTTGGTGTGGTTTAAGCGGGAAATCACGGGGACACCGCTGAATTTTAAGGGGGTCCCCTTATTTCAAGACACACCAATCTGGCGCTGCTATAGGGAAGCAATCGGCTGAATGGAAGCGATGAGCAGTCAAATTCCCCGTTGTGTTGCGGAATAAATTATTTTGCTGGGTTTCAATCAGCTACCAAGTTGCCTTCAGTACAACCCGCTTTTCACCAAAAACAACCAGCGTCCCTTCTTTCTCAATAAATGGCTGTACCACAACCAAGCCACAAGTCCAGATTTTTGAGGTTCCGGGTGAAGAAAAGACCCTTCGCCCTTGGAACGAGTTGTGGGCGAGTTGCATTCTCAGCGGGAAAAGACCCTGGGCCGACAGAAAGGAAACTTCCTAGAGTCTCCATGGCCCTTTACAAATGGGATCATTACCCTAAACAATGGGGTCATGGACGATTTTTTAAAGGGTTATGGAGACTCCGGGTTGGGGTGAATTTGGGTTTGCAACCAGGGTTCCTCGCCACTCCGGTGGGGCAAGTCGGACTGTGGCCGTACAGGCTTGTATGGAATCTGCTTCCGGGTGGTGACCCTCAATGGTACCCATTGTGGGGTAGAGTAGGGGACCGCTAAAGTTGTGATTGTTTTCTTTCTCTTCGAACTCAGCACAAAATTGGGACAACCGCAGGTCCTGGATCGACCACCACGGAGCCTACGACCACCACAACCACCACCACCTTGGCATATGCCCGGGACTCGGAACTGGTTGGGGTGGGCATTTTGTGGTTGTGTTGGGAGGTATGGATGCTTGCATACCGCTAGTAGAATCAATATATATATATATATGCTTTTTGGGCAGTGTGTAAGGTCTACATGAGTGACAAAAAGGAAACCTTCCTCCAACACCTTTACCAGAAAATATTACTCATGCCTAACCACACCATGACTGAAGGAAGCCAGCTGAGGAGCAGACCCAAAAGGGAAAAGTTCAGCTACCCAAGCATGGGCTGGATCTGCAAATTCCAGATTTTCTGCGGACACAGCTCGGGCCAGTGGTTTTTTGCTTTTCGGATGTAGACAGAAACAATATAGCCTCTGGTCTACTAACATGGAATTCGACTGAGGGTTCTTCAAGACCAGTTTCCTTTCAAAGGGACCCTTTGGTGGGTTCCATGCTGGTGGACAGGGGTAACGTTCAAGCGAGGGTCGGTTGATGTCCATTTCCATGTCAGCGATTGCGCTTTGTCATCCCTAGTTTGCCAGATGCTCGATGTATTAAACTTCCTTTGACCCCCGTCGACCCCTTGTTTTTGCCTTCCACCCATGGTGCAAAGTTAGCCTTCACATGTGGCCATGGGTCAAAAGCCCGTACAATCCAAGGGTAGCCTCAAACAAGCAATAACATGGCTGTGGGTCAAAAACAATGGTACCATTTTGGGGTAGGTGCACCGTGCACCGCCCATTTTAGTCTACTTTAGTTGGGATTGGGATGTTCACTGGGGGGCGAGGTTCCTATTTTGAGAGTTGCCCATTTCGACGTTCAAATCATCCAACTCAGAATGGCAGGGGTTTCGCGTTGTTTTTTCCTTTCAAATACGAACCAAATGGCGGACCATGTTGAGACCCCAATTGGCTGTATCTTTGTTTAGTGGTTTCCTTTTGGTGTCCCATAAAAACCAAGCAGCAGAAACTGTTCTACCATGAGAAGAGCCAATGGCCAACCTTTTGGTTTCCCTTGAAAAACCCAATCAACATGATGTTTTTTTTTTCACATGGTTGAAAACCCATTTGGATGTGCCTTGGTTTAGGAAGTGTAGGGCCCAAAATGGCAATTTTCCTTTTGGTTTCCCTTTGACACAAGGAAGGGGTGCCACCTCAAAATAGTATATGGCACAAGAGCCATCGATTTCCGCTTGGTTCTCCTTCAAAATCCAACCAACAGGGGGCCCTCCAGCAACAATTTCCTCTTGGTTTTCCCTTGAAAAATCCAACCAAAGGAGGTCCCCCAACACAATTCCCGTTTGCTAGCAACCATTTTCCTCTTGTTTTTTTCTTGAAAAATCCAACCAAAAGGGGCTTTTGCAGTTGGGACCTCCCCCACTGTCGGGTCGAGTCTCAGCTCGCAGGTGATGGAGTCGCAGAACCTGAAGATCGGAGTTCGCCCCAACGGAGGCCTCCGAAAGATTCCTCTGGTTCGACCATTTCAACCGGCGAATCCGGATTCCGGTTCAGGGCTTTTTTGTTGGTTGTTTTTATTGGTTGTTTTGTTTGGTTGTTGTTTTGGTTGTTTCTTCTTTGTTGTTTTTGTTGGTTGGTTTTGTTGGTTGTGTTTGTTGGTTGTTTGTATTGGTTGCTTTTGTTGGCTTTTTTTTTGATTGCTTTGTTTGGTTGTTTTTGTTGGTTGTATTTGTTGGTTGTTTTTGTTGGGTTGTGTTTGTTGGTTGTTGTTTTTGTTGTTTTTATTGTTTTGTGTTTGGTTGTTTTTGTTCGTTGTTTCTTTTGGTTGTTTTTGTTGGTTGTTTTTTTGGGTTGTGTTTGTTGGTTGTTTGTTGTTGTTTGTTGTTTTTGTTGGTTGTTTCTTTGGGTTGTGTTTGTTGGTTGTTTTTGTTGGTTGTTTTGTGTTTCCTTGTTTTTGTTTGTTTTTTTGTTGGTTGTTTTTGTTTGGTTGTTTTTGTTGGTTGTTTTTGTTGGTTGTTTTTGTTGGTTGTTTTTGTTGTTGTTTTTGTTTTGTTTTGTTTTGCGGGGGGTGTTTTTGTTGGTTGTTTTTTTGGGTTGTGTTTGTTGGCTGTTGTTTTTGTTTGTCGTTGTTTTGTTGTTGTTTTTGTTGGTTGGTGTTGTTTGTTGTTGGTTGTTTTTCTTGGTTGTTGTTTTGTTTGTTGTTTGTCTTTTTTTGGTTCAACTTAGCTTTCAGTTGGTTTAGTGGCTGGGTCTCCGAATTTCACCCGCCACTTTTGCTTTGACCCGATGAGTTGGACAGCCCAGTTAAACAAGGAATTGGGGGAGGGGGAATGCGACCGGAGATCTCCATTAATGGCTCCATTTTCCGTTTTGTAATAGTTCTCGAAGAGAAAACCAACAACAAAAGGATCCCTCTGCCAGAACCAAGGTTCAAACCCCTAAACCAATCCAAATCACAGATGCAGGGTTACCTGACCATATCTTCAGTCCAACCTTCAAACAACCAGACAACAAGCAACTCACTTCCTGAGTTGATTGGCCAAAAAGCAGTCCAAACTGTTTTTGTCACTAGAATGGTCCAAACCCAAAAATATAAAGTCCGAAACGGAACTCAGGGAGTGAGACAACCAAATTATCCACCAAATTATCAGATCTCGGCGATTTCCATTTTGCTAGTCTTCATGTTGTGTTTCAAGGTAGACTAAACATGGAACAGAAGCAGAACATATGTTTCTGTGAACTCCAAATGTAGCCCAATAAAGGTGTTGCTGTTTGAGGGTGTCCTTTATGGATTTGGTTTTTTGGAGGAAACCTATTTGGGTAGGATGTTAAAGGGAAGCCAAAGGAGAACCACGTTTGAAGGCGTCCCCCACTGTACGACGGACGCATAAAGGACGGTTTGAGTGCTGGACCCTCAAACCACCCATCAATATATATATATATATATAATTATATATATATATATACAGGGAATTCACCCACCACATGTTTGTGTTGCAAACAAATCACGTGTTTAAGTTGCATTTGTGAGGGTCCAGGCGGGTCATGTGTCTTTTGAACCTTGATATTGGACTGAACATATGTTCCTGAATCCTCAAACCACGCATATATAAACAGGGAAATTACCCACCATATTTGGTGTTGGATTGGTGAGGGTCCAGGCGGTCATGTGTTCTTTTATTGAACCTTGATGTTCAAAGGGAACATAGGGAGCGCAAGCCCTGTGTTTGAAGGACATATGTTTGTCATTTATGTGACCTTGAACCTCGTGCTGTTCTGCTTCAACAAGCACGCCAGCGGGTCGCCAACGGAGATGCGGCATCGTTTCCATCTATGGCGGCCATGTGGGGGTTGGAGCCCGCCTACATCGCCAAGCTAGCCGACAAAGCGCTGTGCATTCTAATTGTCACAGCACGCACACTTGCCTGATTTGACGCTTGAATCTCGCCATTGCCATGCACCAGCCAGCCGAGTTGCTTGCATGGCTGTGGGTCAAAACCAATGCTACCATTTTGGAGTAGGTGCACCACCCATTTTAGTCTATTTTTGTGGGGATTGGGATGTTCACTGGGGGCACGGGGTTTTGACCCATGGCCACTTTTGTACCTATGGGAAGATCATATTCGTGGTTAGTGCGTTCCAGTCGAATAGCACACGTCTTGCTTCCCCTGAAGGAACCCAAAATGCGACAGGTCAGTTGTTGACTTTTCGGAACTTCATATTACCCAATGATTTACATGTTAAGGTGCACTGAAATGGAGCAGGATCTTACCACGTGTTTTCGAGTCGAGGGTCAAGGTCCCACCAGGCAAAAGTGGACAATGGGTGAGCGTCGGAACCTAAAGATCCTAGCCAAAACGAGTGGCGGGTGGTTTTATCAAAAGAGGTACCGGTCCTTTTGCCATTTGGCCATTGTTGAAAACCAATCGTACCATTTTGGGATAGGTGCACCACCCATTTTAGAACCTTTTCTAGTGGGGATTGGGATGTTCACTGGGGGTACGGGTTTTGACCCATGGCCATTTGAGCCCTAATCAAAAAGTCGGACAGATGAAGGTTAGTAAGGAACACTCCCAACCATATATAGGCGCGGCCGCCTTTTGAGTTCTGGTCATTGGTTCGGGTACACCGTGTCTATACCAGGCTTGAGTGTGACATCCGTTTGGATTTTGTGTTTTGCGGCTCGGAATCCACTTTCACAGCGCACGCCACTCTTAAGACACCTACTGAAAGGCGAAGGCTCTGGTGCTGCTGCGTGACACAGTGGGTTTCCCTTTTGTGAACCTCCAAAAGTGGCAGTTTTTCTTTGGAAAACCGCCAGAAACTTTTGAAGGGGACATCCAGTGGAGGAACCTCCTCTTGGGGGGGCTCCCTTTTTGGGTGCCAGTGATGACGGGTCTGTTTGCCACCAAATTCGGGAGGGAAGACCAACTCGGTTGCCCCTGATACGCAAAGCAACCCTGCCTTGACATGTGTGTTGTTGGGGAAACAAAGAGCCGTCCACACGACCCAGTATCAACTTAGTTCGCCGGTTTGGGCAAAGTCTGGATGTTCAGAAACGAACATGAGGGCACCAGCCAAACCTCCCATCCAGGGTTAACATTCCCAAACTGGTTGATTAATCGGCGATCAACCCATGTAAGAGGTAATCCGCAAATCAGGGTGGATCAACCCAGTCAAGCTACTAAGGGGGAGCCGTTTTAAAAAGCAAACTCCAATTGGTTACCTACGGGAAAATATGGGTGTGACTTTTTTGGGGGACCCCTCAAAATGATGGTTTTCCTTTTGATTTCCCACCCAAAAAAGTGTACCCTGCCTTCAGCACTTGGTTCTGTTTGTTGTTGAGGGTACCCCTTTTTGTTGATGGTCTTACAGGGAAGTCACAAGGAAACACCGCCAGGGTTGTGGGATCAAGTTGGGTTTATCCCCACCGCGATGCAAGTTGGAATCCCCTCTTATGTCTTTTTCCTTTTTTATTTTAGGCCCTTCCCTCTTCAGACTCTTCATATATGTTTCTATCTTATTATTATTTTTGGACCCTTTTGGTTGTACAGAAGTGGATTCCATGCCCTGAGCACCACCTTTGGGGCCTGCGAGGCCTGGGCCAGCCCTTCTACCGCTCCGAGCGGGGCTGGACCAAGCTGACCTACGCGCACCAAAACTTGGAGTCCACATTTAAGGCCAGGGTTGTGGTTGATCAAATCTCCAACCACTTCTGTGATAGGGAGTCCCCTTTTATATGAACAAGATCGGCCAAAAGGAAGCTCTTTTGGTTGTATCACAGAAGTGGTCATTCCCCACAGCCCTGTTTAAGGCCTTTCAAACGCCATCTGGCTGTGGTGGTCAAAACCGTTTTGGGATCCCATTTTGGTTGGTAGGTACCACCCATTTTGGAACCTATTTTAGTGGGGTACGAGTTGGATTTTGACTCCTGGCCATCAAGCGCGCGCTGCCGGGGAGACGCGCGAGGAACGGCTGTTCTTATTCTTCGGCGCCCTACGGTGGATGGTTGCGAACTCGGTCCAACGCACCACCAAAAGAAACCCGACGGAATGGGTCGATTCCCCCTGTAAATGCCAAGGAGCCATGGTTTCAACCATGGTTTGAAAATGGTGCGAGATGGATTTCGCAACCATCCACGGTATAAAAAGGCTCAGTTGTCCAATGCGAATCGACTTTGGGTTTTCCTATTGGATCCCAGTTTGAGTGACCCCAAGGTGATCACCTTTTATGTCCAGGTCCCATAGGGGCAAGTGAGTATAGAACCCCGCAATGAGTTGCGGGCCATTTGAGTGGGGGTGTGGATTGTTTAACTACCATATTTTTTGGTTGAATAGAAATGCCTGATTGAATGTAACGCCTGCATGTATAAACATGTATAGTAGAACCATACATCAATGGGCTTTGGGTGCTGCTCATGTTTGTTTGTTTGCTTGTTCGTTTGTTTGTTCGTTCGTTCGTTTGTTTGATTGTTTGTTTGCATGCATGTTGCTTACATGGCATTTATATAAGCTTTGTACTGGGATATCCATGTTTCTGTTCATAGATAAGGATCTTCACCTAGATATAGATGCTCATGTGTTTTTGTGTTCAAGCGAATGTTCCTGTGGGAACCTCGCACCTGACAGCACGAGGAGCCAATATTTAGCCGAAGATGACACTTTTGCTGGCTCCTCCAAATCCCCCCTACGTGAGTGCCCTAAATATGGCAGGGAACTTGGACCCCCCTGATGACCCAACTTGCTGAAAACCCCCCAACGATTAGCGGATTGCGGATTGTGCCATTTGGCCCCCGGATGTCGAACAGGCTAGCGCACGGTGTTCCATCGTTGTGGGGGTTGAGAGTTGGTTGACTCAGATTGGGGGCAACCGTGCGAAAAGCACGCGTGCAGGCTGCTCGCCATTTTGCTGCGATGGTTGCGGTAATGAAGGACCTTGGGCGTGTGCCACTAATGTTTCAGGTACCAGCGGTTCAGCAAAAGCGATGTGCAAAGACAAAAGGTCCTAACAGCCAATCGCATGGGATCAGTTTTACAGTGCAAGTTTCTGAAACAAAGAAGCTCTGACAACATCTAGAGACTTCCTGAAGAATTGCCCTCGGCGAGCTTCGCTGACCCACACACAGGTGGCTAAGCTTCAGTCCTGGAGCTCGGCTCAGAGGTTCGGGACCACACCGGATGTGGAGCGCATCCGCATCAATCCGACTCACAGCTTGCTCAAGGAGTCTGTGGCCGGTGGAAAGCCGGCATCTTTGGGCCTTGGGCCCAAGGCTTGCTTCGCACTTGCTTCCAGCCAAGTCGACTCGTGCTCGCTCTGATCGCAGAGTTTGTCCAGACCGCGGCAGCCTGCACTCGCAAATACGACAACAAGGATGATGAGCTGTCAACAGCTCCCGCTTGGCTCGCTCGACTGCCTGGCTGCAGAGACTGAGAACCGATTGGGGCATTCAAGGACGAGCAGGGGCAGTTCGTGGTATCTGCCTAGATGACCCTTCAAACATGGGTCCATGACCCCATTATATATGGTAATGACTCATTTTTACAGGGTCATGTCACGGAGACTCCAGGAATATATGCATTTTATGCATACACGTATGTTCACTGAATGGTCCTTCGAGCCATTGCCTTTTGGTTGCCACATTGCTGCAGGGGCTACGTGCACAGTTCATGCGCGCGGTCGCCAGGTGGACGGGCAAGTGCTGCAGGGGCGTCAGGCGCCCAGCTCTTGGCAGGTGCCATTTATCCTACTTAAAGGGTCAATCGGGTACGTAGTAAGTGGTTAGCAACCATGGTTACAACCCACTGAACGGAGACTTATAGATTTCAATTCAGTGAGTTATAACCATGGCCACTAACCACTTACGTTATACTCTGCCCCTTTAAGTAGTACATCCACTGACCATTCTATTAGCCGGGAAATCATCATAACATACGTACTGTGGATGGTTTCGAAATCCATGTCGCTCCTAAGAAACCCAAGGGAATGATTTGATTTCCCTGCAAACGGCAACACACAATGGCTTTCCTTGGTTTTCACGTGGCCTTTTCTGGGTTTTTGGATCATTAGAAAGGCTCGGACTAAGTCCGATGGTTTTAAAGGGCGGCTGGGGCTTGCGGGGGTTTGCGATCTAGAAGGTTTGGCAGTTTGGGGTCAGACCCAATGGCCAATGGGACCAACTATGGTCGGAGAGGAACAATGTTTTGATTCGCATTAGGTGCCAAGCTGGTTCTCCAATCACTGAAGCAAATTCTTGGTTGTTCCCAGCCATCTGGTTCCTTATAGGTTTTTAGTTGTGTTTAGTTGGTGTAGTGCTAGTTTCCACTAAACCACAAGTTAAACTTGTAGCAGGGGATCCTCAAAAGAAGACACACCCACATAGTGATGTGCTCTCACGGTACTGTCAAACGGCGGCCATAAAAATCCCAGCCTTACTCAACTGACTTCCGCTCTTGGACACATTGCGATTAGTTCCACTTCATTTTGAACAGGGCAGTTGCATGGTGGATCACCGCAACAAAGTTAGCATTTTCTTCGATTTTCTTGGAGGTGAAATCAAAAGCGTGGCGTCCGGTGAAAGAAGGGCCAAGCACCAATGTTTAGGATCCACCCCTGCACCCGTCCTCCCCCTTGTTTTATCTAGATGAGACCTGACCTCTTGTACTCCTTGGTCGATGATTCCACCAGACCACCAGAGGAAAGATGATTGCCCATTTAGTTTTCTAGCGGTTGTACGGAAGGCGGAGCGGGAGGTTGGAGGGGTGTGCTATGAAAATGCCTTAGGCCGGTTGAGCACATGCTCCTTGAGTGTTGAGCGTCCCTTGGGGTTCAATCTGCTCGTTGTTTCCGGATGCAAATTTTTGGGGACACTTTGCTGGACATGATCACTATTTCCTCCCTTTCCCTTTTGGAGGGTTCCAAAGGTGGCAGTTTCAATGGAAACCACCAGTGAATTGCAACCATTGAAGGGGAAATCCAGTTACCCCTGATGATTCAGATGATGGTTTATGTCCACCAATCAATTTTGAGGTGCAAGCATAGCAATTAGCTGTGACGCTCGTCCAATCGCCACGTTTCTAAGGCGAAGGGCAGATCAGTCGATTTGACCCAGAACTCATCGAGGCGATTATTCACGATTGGGTGGTCGGTTGTTGTTAAGTTTGCTGATTATGTGTTGGTTTGTGAGTCGTGTTAACTATTGAGTTCTGGTGATGTTGCTAGCGTTGGTCATTTGTGAGTAGCGTTTGATATTTGTGTCAAGTTGTGTTGATGTGGATGGTGTTGTTGGGTTTCGAAGTTCGACAGTTACTGTTATGTTTGTTGGTTTTGTTATGTGTTGTTAAGTGCTGTCAGCTGTGTTGCTGTACTGTGATAGATTACGATTGTAGATCTTCCAGGTAGTGGCTCCTGTTCATGGTAAGTGGGAATTACGCTGGGCGCTTCCTTGTTTTTTGTTGGGTCGTTTGCGTGGTCCGGTCCGTGTGGTTCTGGGCAGGGTTGACAGAGCACTCCGCCAGGTTGCTACTTAAAGGGGGGATCGGGATGATCGGGTACTTAGTAAGTGGTTAGTACCCATGTTATAAGTTATAACCCACTAAACGGAGACCTATAACAATGTCTTGTGTGGGTTATCTCACCATGGTTACCAACCACTTACCTGACGTACCCTTCATCGATCGCCCCTTTACACCCCTTGTTTCAACTTTTGAGGGGATCTGCGAGCAACCAGCCATGGGCGGACTTTGGTGCCCTCCCATTTCTGGAGGTCGATACGATCGATGCAAATGAAGAACCTAGAGCCAGAGTAAGTTGAGGCGTAGCTGTCCTTTTCAGGTTGGATGGACATAGTTCCGCTTTAGATTTGTTTTGTGCTCCAAGGTAGGCTCAACTCCAGGGGTTAATTTCCCCGAAAGGGAAACCGCTCGGTTTAAGTCTACCGTCGGGTAGTCAACATTATCACTTTCTTTCTTTGTTTTAACTTTGCGTTGTTGGCATGCTTTTGGGTGTTTGTATTTTTGGGGTTTGTTCACTTTCAGTAGGAGGGGGGGGTGCAAACAGCGTTTCCGTACCAAGGTTTGGAAGTCAAGGTGGCGGATGGTTGCCCCAATCTTTGGCTGCAGGCGAACCACCTGCCTACCACTGTGACGGAGAATGGAGGCGGCTCAAGAAGCGAGCAAAGGACATGTAGCTTGGGACTAGGTCCCCCAGCTAGGTGCCCTTTTACCGATTCTATTTTGGGGGAGGGTTCCCCTACTAAAATAGACTACAGAAAAAAAGGTACCCATATTCTAACCTCTCTACTGGAGGACCTAGGAGATTTCCCATTTGAGCCACAAATCACAACCCGGGTAAACGAAGGTTAGTAGGAGAATCCCAATCACAAATGGCTGCAGCCGCCTTTCTGTTTCATTGTATGGCTCTGGGTAGATTATTCTAAAACCAGGTCCTGATTATGACTCATTTGCTTAGTAATGCCTGGTTCCCCTGCTGGTTTAACGGGGGATCTTTTTTTTTTGCAGGGAAGTTAGGCAAATGGAGGGGAACCAAGTCTTGTTTCCTTTGGACATATGGAATGTACAGATCAATACATTACTATAATCACAGTGTGATGAGAGATTGACGGATCTTAAGGAAGGGACATGCATACAATCTTTCTCCTCTTCATGGAAATTCCGTATGACCAGATACGTTGTTCCTGTGGAGATGCTACCTAAGAGAAGGAGATAGGTGAGGAATACCAAGATAAAGATAACATATCTGAATGTCTGGATTCCTAGTTACATCCGGCTTGCAATGGAAAGCATGAAAGTTGGGACGGTGAATTACTAAGAGAAGATGCAAGCCATGAATTCCCAAGCTCTTTGCATCGCTTTCCTGCATCTCCAAGAGTCCAGATATGAAAGATAACGGAGATTATTGGAAGGAAGAACCGATTTATTGGGAACAGAATCGCTCAATGGGATACGTTCTCTCTCCATGGGATAACATGTGAACTTTATTGGTAACCATTTATTGGTAAGAGATACGTTCCTTCAAATGTGCAGATAATAAATGTGGTTACCATAATTTTGACGTTGTATCTCTCCATTTCTTGTCAACCACATTCATTATCTCCAGATATTTGTCTCTCATATTTTCCTACATTCTACGCATTCTATGTTGTTTTTGGTTGGTTTAGTGGCGGGGTCCAGTCAATCCACCAAAAGCTTGTCATTTAGCAGGGGATCTGCAAACGCACAGTCCAGGAAATAGGTCGCCCTTCGCTTGTTGCTTTGATTTTTTTAAGGGTGGCTACACAGGGAAATGCAATCAACGGGCATAAGAGAATCCTGATTGTTTGGATTCTTGTCACCCAGGCCAAAGGCCGGAATCCAACCAAAAGCTGTTGTTTAGTAATCCATGTTCCGTTTGGATGTTTGTTTGTTGTTGTTGTTGTTCTTTTTCAACAAATATCTTGTGGTTTGTTTTTCAACGCCAGGGAAATCGCCCTCAACAGACAACCGGCTTTAAAGGGAAGCAACGGCTCACCGCGCCGCGTTTTCGAGAGGCCGGCCAGTGCCCGCGGCCTCTGCGGGGCGCATCACCGAGGAGCTGGCTTTGAACGGGGAGCCTCAGGCGCGAGGAGTTTGTCGGACGGAGAGCCTCACTTGAACCCAAAGGAGGTTGTGGAAACAGAGGTTCAAGCCATCGTTTCAACGAGGTACTGTGGATGGTTGCGAAATCCATGCAACGCACCACTCAAGAAACCCTAGAATGATGATTCCCCTGTAAATACTAACAAACAATGGTTTCCCATGGTTTCAAAGTGGTGCAGGATTTCGTCCATCCACAGTAGGACTCACTTTCTGAGTTCATGGACTTGAGTCACTTTTGGAGAAGACACAATTTGAGTGGTATATAGAAAGTTCAAACTTTTTGGAGTTCGATCCACTCATGAAGTGAGAACGCAAGCTCAGCCAGCCGTTTCAACTAAGGTTTTTGGTTGTTAGTGGTGGGTTTCCGTTACCACTATAACAGTTAGGTACTTTTGGCAGGGTATCAGAAAACGGACAGCCCAGGTTGGCTTGAATTGGGCTTGGATTGCTCTGGAAATCCCGTCCCATTTTTGTTAAAACCCAACTGGTGGGTTGGATTTGGAGTTGAGACCACCCCCTACCCAAACTACAAATCTTAAAACAACCAATTGGAGGGAAGCTGAGCTAGGGGCTCCGGAAGCTTGCCGAGAAAACAACTTTTCCCGTGGTGCAACCACACATTTTTGCCGGGGGGGCACCTTAAACATACACACCCATGTGTGCTGGGAACACCGGACATGAGTAGAACCCTGTTTGATTTTCTGATTTTCAGTGGGGATGTCCCCTTTTTTAGTGGGGGTCCAGAGCACTTTTGGGAAAAGACCCCTATTCGTAGGAGGGGTTAGCAAATCCTGGGTCAACAAAAGACTTTCCAGGTCTTTCCATGCAATTGTCTAGGTTCCAGTAATTTTGAGGATTTTGCTCGGAATTGTCCAGGGGGTTGATTCCTTTCTTTCTTCTTGTCCAGGGGGTTGCCTTTGAAGATCAATCCGACCAACACAGGGGGTGCCGATTCCTTGTTTCCCGTGGACATTTGGGAGTGGCAGTCTTGGTCTCCAGTGGCACTTTCCAGGTTCTTCAGGGGTTTGGGTCGTCGGTTTGGAACCCCAAAGTGTCAAAACCACCAAACTGCCGCTGAGATGAACGCCCAAACCTTTCGACTGGGGCACATCCATGGGCTCATCCACTAGGGCACATGCACGATACCACTTGGAGGGGCGTTTTCCAAGTCTATGCTAGTGGGGGAATATTGACTGTCGCTCGTGTAGTTTGTGAGAAAACCGTTTTGTTCTGTCTGTTTGTTAGGACACCCATTTTGCAGTGCGGTTGGGAAACCAAAAGGAAGCTAACCATTCTTGGCGTCCCCCCATTGTACATGTTGGTGTCAACACAGTGTGTTTTGTTGGCCGAACTGCTTAGGAAGGAACGGGTTCCGATACCAATGGGCAAATTCGGCTGCGGTAGTTTCAGACGGCCAAAGCGGCCCAGGCCTATGACTAGTTAAAGTGATCCAGGCTCCGTTTGGTGTCTTAAAATTAGGACCCCAAGATGGCATCGATTTCCTTCGGGTTCCCCTCTAAAAATGGACAGACCTATATATTTGTTTTGCACAAAATTGCGGATGCTTCACATACCCGGGTGAAGTTCTTGGGAAAATAAATGGATCTCAGCTTCGGAGTTCCTAAAACGAGCCAACAATAACTGACGCACATAGCAACCTGGTTGTGATGTACTCTTCCTTTTCCTTCAACAGACATATGCAGAAACATGTGTATATATTATATATACGTACATACATACATGCATACATCGCATAATATATATATATATATGCACTCGTACATGTAATGAATTATGTGTACATGTCATTCCCCCGGGCTTTTTGTTTGGACTTCACGTTTGTTGCAGACCAAGTCACTCAATGTCGAGGTGCTCGCGGGACACGAAGGGAGGTCTTTTTGAAGCCAGATCAGCCCTTGGTGTGCCTTTTCCTCTGGAAAAGAATCGCCCCTCTTGTAGAAACCCTCTTCATTTCAGTGACCACCGGAATAAATTGGCCGCCCCTTGGTAGAAGCCCGGTTCATTTCAGTGGAAACCCTTCTTGTAGAAACCAGCTTTTCAAGGGCGCCTCAGACGAACCGACCGGTCAGGCGAAGGTGATCAGATTCTTGGACTCCGAGTCGCCTGAGAGTTCAGCGGATCGGGGATACGTGGGAGTGTCGTAAAATCGGGACCCCCCAAAAAATGCCTTCGGTTTCCCTTCGGTGTTCCCTTAAAACCTCCAAACCAGGGGTACCCTCAAAGAAAGACACGCCCACATGGGCTGAGAATCACCGACTGGGAACCCAGGATCTAGGTAGAACCCCTTGATTTGGATTGGGGGGTGTCCAATTTCTGTTATTGGGAGTCCGGATCACTCTTGTGGGTGACTCCCCCCAATAGGACACCCCTTATTGCTTTTTTGGTATCATAGGTGTCCTTCTCTGGTGAGTTCGTTAGAATTAGATGAGTTCCGCTGGTTTGGACGGATTGTGTGCCATTTCGGTCACCTATCTTTGATATTTTACCAGGGACACCCATCGATATTGTCCAGTTCGGTCAGCTATGTTTGGCATTCCTTCATGTTTCCTTCCAACCAGTAGAACGCACCAACTGTTTGGTGGTGTTTTGAATTGACCTTTTGACTGCCTGGTAGGAAATTATCGAATGGAGATGCGTTATGGAAGCAACAGATGTGCCATTTGGATGCTAAATAACCCATTTGTGTTTGTCACTCTCTGATTCCGTTTCGGACTTTGGGCACTTTTGGGAAGACCAACTTAATGGTAAACACAAAGTTTAGATTTCTCGCGGCCAATCCACTCCATTGGGGGTCGCATAATAACCTCCCCCTTTGAAGGTCAGGGTGGGACTTTTGGTGGCGAGGTGTCCCACCCTGTCCAAGTCATAGGGAAAGGATGGGAGGCGGTTTTGCAGGCCTATTTGTTTTTATTTTACCCAAACGGAAGCCAACAGGGATGCGCATTGTTCAGCTTGTCCAGACTCGTTCATCGCACTTAGAAGTGATTTGCTCGGCCGAGAAAGGGCGCATGGGAGGCCTTTGAGAGGAATCAGGTGGGCGGTCAATGGGTCTGGGAAGCGACAGGACGCGTCACTGAGACATAGAGTCAGTAGGGAGGTTTATTTACGCTTTCAGCAAAAGCAACTTCTTTTTGCTCGAGGTCAGTCTAGACCAAACCCAGTTTCGGACAGCTTTTACTCAACGTTAATCGCAACAGATCGGCACCAAGCCCTATTTCCGGAGGTCCGTCAGGTGGTCAAACCTCTACTTCCCCTTCTCTTCTTGTGACATCGAAAAATGTGCTGTGCTTTGTGCCCTAGGGCTGGGGCACCCTACATCCCTCCCTTTCGGATGAGAAGCTTCAGCTTTCGGGGCCAGTCTGAGCGAGGGGTGATGTTGTGAGGGGAATCTTGCGGAGCCCTCAACCTGCAAAACCTTGCGACAGAAGGAGAAGGTGTTTAGGATGTTCGTCTTTTTACGGGGTAATTACCTTCTCGGGTTTGTGTTTGTATATTGGAAACCAAAAGAACATGCCCCACCCCTTTCATATGGGCTCGCGTTTTTTGAGTTGCTGGGGGACACCAAAGGAACACCCATGTTGGTGGGCTCTCAAGAGACGCCACAGATGTGTCTGGCGGCAAATCCCCCCCCCAACCAAAAAAAAGTGGGTGGGGGGGTGGGGGTGCGGTTGGAAGTTACTCCGAGAGAGGGCTGCACTGAGCCTCAGGACTGTACAGCTTCATGGGCGACGGCTTAGTCTTCAAAGCCAACTTCACCTTCCGCGCTTTGAGGGACTTGTCGAACCTGCAGGCCCGGCTTCCGGGGTTCTTGTAGATGCGGAGCTGTGTTCTTTTCTCCAAGAAGGCAAGAGGTTCCCAGCCACTTTTTTTGGGAGGCTTGGGATTCTGGACTTAGTTGAAAAAGCAGTTGGGGGGGGGTTGCTGGGTCCCCTTGTGGTTGGTTTGATTGGGGAAAGGGGGAACCCTCTTGCCATTTTCTGGCAAGCCATACCCTTTGAGACCAAGGTTTTTGTGTGATGTTTTTGTTGCCCCAAAAGAATCAAATTTTCCCATGCGCTCTTGTCAGATTTCTTTGGTTGGATTTCCCTGCCAAGGTGACCTTTTTCTTCGCATACATCCTTTGAAGGACCATATTTACAGCCTACTAAGTTGGTCGGGCATCCAAATTTGCCAGCTTTCAACATATCTTCCATGCAGCCAGCAAACGGATCGGTTTGGCGTTTTCTCACTGGGGGTCTTAGACAATCGGCATCGACTCGCTGGTTTTTCTAGCTCGTCTTTGCGTTGTTTTGTGTCAGTTGAGCGCTCACAAAAACCACCCAGTGTTATCGGGTACGCCCCTTAGTTGGTGGTTTGGATTGGTTTGGATTTTGATTTGAACCCTGGGATCGTTCAGAGGGTAAAGGGGAAAGCACCCTAACCACCAGGTGACATGGATCGAGTCGTGGACAGAAACAGCCACTAAGCTCACCAACTTGAACTAGAGAAGCCCAACAAACCATCATGGGCCCAGAATCGCAGCGGAGCGGACTCTCGCCCCCGCACACATGTTGCCCTTTTTGAGCCGCAACAAAAAGCAAGTTGAAGAAACAATCTGTATGGGGGTGCTTTTTTGTTTAGGGGAGCCCCCAAACTGATGTGTGTTCCTTGTGGTTCTCCTTTAAGCCAAGCTAAAAAACGGCAAGTCCGCTTTCCGTGGACTTGAAACGTCCCTTGTGCAGCTTCACTGTTCTTGGATCATGTTTTTTGGCTTTTTAGTTTTGTTTGGTTCTGTTCATTTTTACTGGGGGTCTGCAAAAAACAAAGTTTTTTCGCTACCATACCAAGAGTAGAGATGGCAGTTGTTGTTGTTTTTCTTCATTTGAAAGGGTACAGCGCGTCAGGAACACACAAATCCACATGGCTTTTGGCTTGAGTCTTGGATTTGGGACCAACAAAAATTGGGGAACTCCCCCAATCGGGGCCAAGAAAACGGCACACACAGAGGGCCATTTGGTTTCCAGAGGGGCGAGACCAATCCCCCGGTGCCCTTCTTAACCCCTTGTTTGGTTGGGAGGGTTCCCCTACTAAACTTGACGAATCAGAAAAAAAGGGTAGCAACTTATTCTAAATTGACTACACAAAAAGAAATCGGGTACCAACTTATTCTAACCTCTCTACTGGAGGACCTAGTTGATATTCTCGCAACATTGGGGTTGACTTGGGGAAGCCATGTGTTCAGCTAACAATAGGTCCATGTGTTCAGCTGGGTCCGACTTGGGTCCAAGGCTTGCCCGTTTGATGTAAAGGCGCCGTGCACCAATGGTTGGGGCTTCGTGGTGTTCAGCGAATATTAGGTCCATGTGGTCACCTGGGTGTGGCCTTAAAAAACAACAGCTGGGATTACGCAGTTTTTAGTTCGTGTTTCCATCTACAAAGGTGCCATGTTGGGCACATCTGTTGGAGCAGCCAGCTTGCTCCGACGGGGGTCCAAGGCTGGGCCAAACAAGAGCCTTCCATTTGTTTAAGAACATTTGTTATTTTCCCCTGTTGGTTTTAAAAGCAATCGATCGCTACTGGACATTTTGTACTTAAGCAAATGGAAGCTGAGCGCTGCAGGTCTGGTTGGGCACCTCCGACGATTGGATCGGGCAGACGGACCAGCCCACGAAGGAGCAAGGCCAAAACGCGACGCGACCGTTTTGGGATCCAACGGGTTAGACCTTGGCCAGGGTCCAAACAAGGAAATGTGTTGGGCCATAAACATAACTAGGTCCCTCGGTAGTGCCCTTTCTCACCCCTTTCTTTTTTTGGGTTGGGAGGGTTGCCCTACTAAAAAAGAGACTAAAGAAAAAAGGGTACCCTTACTCTAACCTCTCTTCTGGAGAACATAGGTAAAGCAGATATGCATTGTAATTCAGGTGGGTTTTGAATCACCAATGCAAGCTTGTAAACGCAGTATATACCCATGCATACGTGATTTCGAAAAGAGAGTCCTCGCAAGATATAGGGATGTGTGGTTTCCATCTTGAATTTCAGGAGCGGGGCCTGAACATGGGTGGGGTGGGGAGCGTTTGATTGGTCTCGAAAATATGGATTGAGCTCATGAATATTTTAGGCAATGTGGAAAAAGGGCTGATGCCTTCGACGGTGATCCTATGCTTGTCGCGCCCTGAAAAACATGAATAGCTCGTGACCCCAATGCATCCAACAGCTTGTTTCAGAATGGGATTGGGCACCCTCAAAATGGGCGGCTTTCTATTGGGGTCTTCTTGAACCAACCCAAAATTGGCACCCTCAACAGAGACACACCGATGTTGTGTTTGTTCCCGGGCTGACAATACCACCCCCACTTGAATGGCATGGAACATCCAGAAAGGGTTTGGACACTTCAAGCTGACAAGAGGCCTTTGTACAACACAGTGGTCCCAGATTCCTTTTGTGTCTTCCATACCCAGAGGGTCCAAGTACCTTCTGAGGAGGTACTGAACGACCCCCTTCTACCCCCGTTTTAGGCCATCCTCATGAAGTAGCAAGGGAATCCTGGGGTATTTTTTCAGGTGTACCCATGCCTCGGGCCTCAACTATTGCAAGTGGAACAAGTTGGACTCCCCAGTTCACGGAGGTTTCTCCAAAGCAATTTGGTTGGCAAAGGGAAAGAAGCCAAAGGAACTGACTCATTCCTGGGTGTTTCGGGGCCCTTCGAGAACCTTACAGACCTCAATCCAGGGCTCCCAAGGCAATGTTCCGGAGGGCTCCTACATGCTTGGTCATTGGTTCTGACCTGGAACCTAACGGTGTTTATTCTTGCTGGTTCTCAGCCATCCGGTTCCTTAGCTGTTTAGCTCTCTAGTGTTTAGTGGGGGTTTCCATTTACCCCACCCAGGCCCCAAGAGGTGATCACATTCTACTTTCAGGTCCTTTGAACAAGGGAGCATTTGAGAATTTGCTCCCTTTTTGGATGTTTGAAGCTCCCTTTTTGGACCCCTCCCTTTGAACAAGGGAGCATTTGAGAACGAGGCGGAGCCCTTTTTGGATGCTTGACACTCGCAGGAAGCCGCCTGATTTGTCGAAAAAGCCAGGCCGCTTCGCGGGCAAGAGCTTCGTGCCTGATGCCGGCGGCAACATCCTGCGGGTGCACTCAGGCTGGGCAAATCAGCACGAGGTCACCCAGGAGTCCTTGCGGTGAACGCCCTGATTGCAAGTAATGTCGACCCCATATGAATCAACCCCAAGTGTATGAATACGGGGATGTCCCTGGGTTTAGTGGGGAATCGTATTTGGAGGGCAACCCCCCCCCAAAAAAAAACTGGGGTTGATTAATATGGGAGTCAACATTAGAGAACAAGAGAATCCTCTAACTTACTGTAGTTTACTTATGGTTCTGGGTGAAGCGTGTTCGGTTTGCTTGCAACATGGGTTTTGGGGGGTGGTTCATCCGGCAACGAGAACATGTTGAGGGTGCTGTGGGGGCTTCCCGCATTGCCAGTTCGGGACTCATATTGCTTTTTGGCATCGAGGCGAGCTTCCGTGCCGGAAAGCAGGATCCTTTTTTTGGGGTGTGGCTTCTAAGGGAATCCAAAGGATAGCCGACAAAATCCATGTTCGGGTGTCGCATTCCTAAAAGAGACACCCTATCAGCCAGCAGTTTGTACGTCCCTTGGATTGTAATGTGCATTTTGTTGTATCAATCGATCACCCAAAAGCTCCGTGACTAGACTACCAGCTTGTGTCTTTTGGTGTCCGAATCGAATGTCCTCTTATGTACCTTTTCGGGTGTACTTATGTTCCTTGGCTGGATCAACTTCGAATTGCTTCCGTTCGTTTCCCTGGAACTGGATTTCCAACTGACATGACGCGACCAACACGAATCGCTTGCAGATGTGACCTAGAAGGCCACGTGTTCTTTCCAGCTCCCTTTGGTCAAATGAGTTGGGTCTTTTCCAGAAACATGAACGAGTGTTTCCTCAAATAGGGAACCGCCGTTGGTTTGTTTCCTTCGGCCTGCTAAGAAACACCCCAATACGATTCATCAATTAATGACTGCACATGAAGAACAAGACGCACCGTATGAGCGGGCGATATCGGAACACACAGGTTTATTGCTTCACACGCCCCGGCGTGCAGGTAGGTTCCAAGCTACATGGGTCCCTGGGTTTAAGCAGGGTTTGCACCATTGTCCTTTTTGGAACCTCCACAAGTGGCGATCGTTTTAATGGACACCACCAGTAAGTCGCAACTTGGGAGGAGGGAAATCCAGTGATCCCTGTTAAGCATCGAGGTAACTTGCGCCATTGCTCTGACGCCACATAAAATGGTTTGACCCTCTTTGAGGTTTGGGCGCGAACCCTGATGGGATCGCAGAAGGGAATGGTCAGAAAGGAGCTGACGGGATGCAGTGGCCCTGATTGTTCCCTTCGGGTCCATCTTAATTGTTGAATTCTGATATACCAACATTAACCTCAAAGCGAATTGACCGGGTCTGACCGTTCAGGTTTATAACTTCGGCCCATTTTTAGTGGGGTCACAAGTTTCTTTTCCTGCTTGTTCCTTGTGGCAAGTGAGCCATGCCATGTGCTTCCATATGGACAGATTCATGGCGTTTCCATGGAAGCTTCGAAGGGACTTTGCAGAGGTTCCCCGGACCCGCCTTGTTGACCGATCCCTTTTTCCCGAAACGATGCATGAACAAGTGGCAAGGCAGAAACAAGGGATGGGTCCTTTCCCAGGGGGTCCAAGTCCGAGGAGGTACTGAACGACCCCTTTTGACCCCCAAAAGCCATTCTCATGAGGTACTTGGACCCCTGGGATATTTTTGAGGTGTACCAATGCCTCGGGCCTCAACTATTGCAAGTGGAACAAGTTGGAATCCCCAGTTCAGGGAGTTTTCTCCAAATGGACCCAGTTTGGCAAAGGGAAGAAGGGGGTAGGTGGTTCCTTGGACCCTCTGGGTTTGGGGGTCCAGGTCCATTTGCGAAGGCCCATTGGGGCAGGAAGCTCCGGCTGTTCGCCGGGGACTGTAGCTCGAAGGGCGCTGGCATCCAGCACCCGGGTCCCAATCACTGCTTTTGAAGGGCAAAACCCAAGGGGAACCCAACAAGTTGGGGGGGTACTGGATGTTTTTGTATTTTTATTTTATTTTTAGTTCTCCGATTTTTTAGTAGGCTGTGTTTGGATGTGTTTGGATGTGTTTGGATGTTCTCGGATTTCAATTTCTCCGATCTTTTTTAGTAGGCTGCAAAGTTCAAGGCATTTGTTTTGGCCAAGCCAAACCGTATGGGTGCGAAAGATGGGTATGCGGCCAGCAAAAAGTTGTGAGGTGAGGAGAGCGTCTTCGTGTACTCCACCACCCCGGGCAGCCAGTCCATCATTTCTTCGCAATATGGCCAGTGGCAACAGATCACCGACTCTTGGCGATCGTTGGTTGGTTGGCCTTTTGGCTGTGGGTCAAAAGTAATGGGATCCCATTTTTGGGTAGGTGCACCACCCATTTTAGTCTATTTTAGTGGGGATTGGGATGTTCACCAGGGGTACGGGATTTTGACCCATGGCCATTTGGGCGAACAGATAGCGGACTCGGGGAAGAAGCGTCCATTGACTCACTCCCTGAGTTCCGGAACTTTAAGATTTGTGGGAACACCATTTTAGTGGCATTGGGAGCGAGAAGCGTTCGGGGAAGAAGGGTCCCTATTCGGTCGTGTCCTTCTAGCGGTACCTTTTTTGGTTGGTTGGCTTAAAGCGGAACCAAAACAGAGCCGTCTCCTATGTTTCAGACACCCACCCTAGGGTTCCCAAAGCCCCCGTGGCTAGAGTGCTTCAGACAAAAAACAATTTGGATGACAATCCTTAGGGCAGCAGTTGTGGCAGCTATGAACCCAACCGCAACGGGTGGGTTTTGTTTGAACAAGGTGTGGTTAATTGTTCTTTGAGCCCCACGGGTTCGCGGAAGAGTCGCGTATTTTGTTTTCCATTTTTTTTCGGCAACTGAGCAAAACAGTGAACATAGGTGTCCTTTTGATCGGTGAGTTTGGTTACAACTAGACTGGTTCCACGGTTTAGATGAGTATGCCCCATTTACCAGGGCCATCAAACATTTCTGCAAAAGGTTTTCTATGACAGTGAATGAAAAGAATCGGTCTTTATGGGGCTGGCTATCCACTTTTTCAATTGAGCCCCTGATGATTGATTCGGCGTTTTCTGTTGATGCTTTTCTGAAAGCCGCCAGGGCGCCAACCAGTTGTACCGGCCTTCGTTGGGCAAATGCAACCTCGGGCATTCAACCAAAAACAAACAGAGGAAAACCACCCATTTCGGGGTTTCCCCTATTTTGAGTGAAACCCATGTACAACCAGCTAAGCAGCGCTAGTTGTCTTCTATGTAGCTAACCGGAAGCCACGCCTTACTTCAGTGTTCGGCCAAGTTAGCAAGTTGTCACTAACCTGGGATCAAGCCTCCCACTAGTGGGGTTAACCCAGTCATTAGCGGGTTATCAATCAGGTGGCGCCCACTTTCTATCTTGGCGAATCGAACATCCAAGTAGCAGAGTCTTTCCACCTACCTAGCTTGACGGGTTTTTGGAAGTCTTGGGTGTTGAGGGTACCTTTTTGTTTTTCTTTCTCTTCGGTTTCCCTGCACCAACGAAAAGCTGGTCCACCATTTTGAGGAACTCCCAAGTAGTGGTCTGTGCTTCTGTACCCTTTTTAGGTTGGTTTCAAGAAGGTAGCCCTCCGTCTGGTAGGCCCCCAGAACTATTTGGACACATACCCCAAGAACCGCCAAAGCGAGCAACACCGCACATCCCCACTTTGATACGTGCAAAACCAACTTGAACCCCTGCAATGGCTTCGTTATCTTCGTTATACCACTCCCAGATTCAAGTCAGTTCCCAAAGGCCGCCTCACGCTCGGAGCTCAGCCGCTCTACTTCGGATGGTGCCTATGGGATCTACGCGCCCCGGTGGACATTGGATGTGACGTAGTTTGGTGGATGTTTTGTTGGCTGATGACTGATGTTGGTGTGCTTGGCTTTTGTTGGCTGTTTGTGTTGTTGGGCTTGTTTGGTGTTGTTGAAGGTTGTTGAATGTTGCAGAAGTTGTGGAAGTTGTGAAGTTGTGGAAGTTGCTTTCGCTGCTGCTGATGTTGGCTTTTTAGGTGCTTGGTTTGATCAGTTGTCGTGTTCTTGGTAATTTGGTGATTGATGTGTGTGTGTGTGTGTGTGTTTTTTTTCGAGGTGAGTAATGCTTGGCATTTATGTGTGTTTAGTCTTCTTTTGGTGTATTGTGTATGTGTGCGGTGGTTGGTGTGTTCTCTCTCTCTCTCTCTGTGTGTGTGTGTGTGTCGTGTGTTGGGTGTTTTTGACGTGTTTTTTTCTTCTGCTTTGTTTTTTTCTCTTTTTTTCTGCGTTTGAACATTTTTTGTTGGTGGTTGGTGTTGTGGGGTGTTCGTTTTGTTTGTATTTTGTTTGGTGGGTGTGTTTTCGTGTTTTACGTGTTTTACGTGCTTGGCCATTGGCGTTTTGATTCATGAGACTCTGGCCATGGTGTGTTTGGTGCGGTTCGGGTATTTGGCGGGGTTGTTTGGGGATGATGCGGTGTTTTTTTTTTTTTTTAGACATTTTTTGTTTAGTGTCTTTAGGTGTTGGTGGTGTTCTGGTGCTTCCTGTTTTTTTGTTGTTTTATGCGTATTTATTTGGTGTGTTGTTGGGGGGGGGGGTGCGTTTTGTGTGCTGTCGCTTTGGGTGTGTTGGCGTTCTTGGTGTCTCTGTGTGTTTGTGCGTCCGTATTGTGTGTTTTCGTTGTCTTGTCGCCTTTGGGGCTTTGGTTGCTGGTGTGTTGTCTTGTTAGCGTTGAACCGAACAAATCAATGCGAACATGCCTTTGATTGTTGTTGTTGGCGTCGTTTGTATTTGTGTGGTTGATGTCCCGCGTGCTTTGTGTTATTGTTGATTGCCTTTTTGTGTGTGTGTGTGTGTGTGTTTGCGTTTTTGTTTCGGCATGCTTCGCATGTTTCGGGTGTGTTGGGTGTTTTTGGCGGTGTTCGAGGTCTTCGCCGGTGTTGTTGTTTGTGTTTCATGCTTGCTTGATTTTGCGGTTGTTTGGTATGTTGTGTCTTGGTGTGTTTGGCCGGTTGGAGTTGTTGGTTTTTGGTGTTTTTGCATGCTTGGGTGTGCTATTGTGTGTGTTTCAAGTGTGTTGGTGTGCGCTGATTTGGTGTGTTTGGCCTTCGGGCCTTCTGGCGTGTGGTGTTTCGCTGTTTGGTATCACTTGAAGAGGGCCTCTAGAAGATTCAGTTGTTCAAACTAGGCCTTTTGAACTGCATTTTGAATAAAAGGTCCCCGATGGTTAACCTTTTGCTTGCATGTCCTTATGATAAGATGATTCACACCCACAGACCCTTGCCGTCGGTTCTCCATCCAGCCCCAAGGGCTGCTTTTGCCCATGCCCCCGGTTGCAAGTGCTGCCCATGCCCAAAGTTTGGACGGGCAGGCTGGCTTCTCTTAGGATTCCCGAATTTCTACCCTTGGCCTTTTTGAAGCAACCCTTTTCGAAGCAACCCTGGGTGGTGTTGAGCCACCAAGTTTAAGAGGCCACGGCAGGTTCGATCCAGACTCCTGATTTGTTCATGGTCCATTTGAGTGCGAGGTGTGCGGTTGGATGCCTTTTCTGTTGGCTTAATGTTGGTTGAAACGGAAGATACCAACAGGAACACCACCGTTGCAGACCCCGTTTCCATTTTTTGGGTCCTATTTTTATCGTCCATGCGTTTGACTCATAAAAACATGGTGTCAAGGCAGACCAAAGGAATCCTGCTCCAGCAAAGGGTCACCTATGTCTCAGGGTTGATTCCCGTTTCAAAAGTTCACCCTTCAGCTTCTGAGATCCCTCGAATCAGAATATGCTTGATTTTCCTGCCCGATTCCAGTTACCTCAGCAGGTATCAAAGAGCTTGTCAGCCTTCAAACAAGCCCAGGTGGTATGCCCAATAGCCCGGGAACTGTCCACCCGAAACCCTCCGAAGCTGCCGCAAGCCACCAGAGGTGATTTCTGGGCAGAGACCCCATAGCTTTCAGCTGGGAAAAACCGGAAAGAATTTGGCTCATTACTGGCTATGGTGGCGAAACACCTGGGATCCACCGGGTAATTTGCCTAATGAAGAACCCCCCATTGGTTACACATAGAGTTGGATCTGCAGGTTCCAAGGCTCCAATCACAGTGATCTGTGCAAAGTGTCCAAATCCATCGCTATCACGGGGGCTTGCTATTGGGCGGTATTTGTTCCCATATCCAGGTTGAAGAAATCGTCTAGTCTTCGTCCTTAAAGAAACAGAATCCGCCTTTGACTGGATATTTGGACTTTTTGCCGCAAAACCTGAAACTCCTGAAACTCCAATAAGTACACACTATTGCAATGCTCGCGGCCTTTGACAGATTAAAGGAAGCTTTGCGGGGGTACACGACTTACGGTAGCCACTTAGGAGACTTATAACCCATGGTAAGTGGGTCATAAGCATGGATACTAACCACTTACCTGACGTACCCGATCGCCCCTTTTAGTGGGCTACAGGAAAAGCGAAACGAACGCATCTCCCATCCTTCGCTTCGGTCATGGACCGTTTCGGATTCGAGGTGCCTTTGGGGGACATGCGCGCAGGGGAGGAGCGCTCTGCGTGCTTCTACTACGCCGCGCCTCGGCTTTTTGGAAGACGCGTTGGGCGGTTGGGGGACGATGGACGGCTTATGGGGCAGAGATTATTTTTGGTCATGTGGGTCTGTGTCAAATAGCAAAAAGGGGTTGTTGTCCTTTTGGTGTTCTTTTGAAACCACCAATAAATGGGTTGACTTTTCATACCCTTGTTAGCTGGTTTTATTAAAGAAAACTCGCAGGAAAGCCTGTTTTTCTTTTTCTTTTTAAGGGGGTGACCTTAAAACAGACATGCCCATGTTGACCCCGGATGACACCAAGTCAGCTTGGGAGCCAACCTATGTCATGCGGAATTTGAGTACTGACATGATTGTCCCATGTGCTTGACTTATTTTGGTTTTAGGACAGTGGGAGCCCTGGATTATAAACAGAGGGGTGTCCGCTTTTAGTGGAGATTGACACTTGGAAGTCAGAGGGCGGGTTTATCAGTCCGGGGTCAATAACATTAGTCAGCAACAGCACGTTGGTAAGACACTTGTCATTTGATGCTCCTGGTGTTTGTGGCCCCTCAGCCTGAAACTGGCACCCGCCGCCCGCCCACCCACACCTCCTTTATGTCTATTTGGTTGGATGTTTTACACTAACTTTTTGGGAAGCAGCTCGGATTTTGCGAATTGGACCCGGAAAAGAGTGAGTCAGTTGTCGCAGAGGGGTCTGGTCTCGCCAGCAACCAAGCTCCAGAAGTCAAGGGCTGTGGACTATAAGTATAAGTTCGGAAGGCAGTACAAGTGGCTTGTTGCCTCAATCCTCAATCCCTCCAAAACCCCTACCTTCAAGCAGCCAGTCACGTTTCCACCCACCCCCCAACCAACCTGCACCCCCCCCCCCACCCACCCCCACCACCACAAAAGCTCCGCCTTCGCCCAGAAAATGCGAGAGTCAGGCGGCCGCCGAGAGTCGGCTCGCGGAGCTGCTAGACCAAGCCTCCAAAGTAGGCGTCGCTCGCTTCCGTCGCCCGGGCTTCGGGGCTTCGGTGCGGATGGTGGTTGGGATGGAGCTGTTGAGCTTGTTCGGTCTGGTTTCCTTGTACTGTTCGAAAGGGGACATCGACACCACGCAAACTTGCCAGCCCATGTAGGTGTGACTTTTGTAAGGGGGTACCCGTCTTTTTTGGTGGTCGGAAAAAAGAGAGGAAAGGAAACCACAAGGAACACCGTTTTTTTTTGTGGGGGTCCCCTAAACAAGGACACACCCAATGTCTTCGCAGTCCTTGGCACCGAGGCTCTGAGATGCTCTAAGTGTCTCTTTTGGGTTTATGACAAGCTTTGGCTTGAAGGGTTTCCTTCAGATACCCAAATTATCTGGCTTTCTTGGCATGTGGTTTTCTTCACTTGTGTCTTTTTTGTAGGAATCGGACCCCCAAATGGACGGTGGTCCTTTTGGTTTGCCTTCCAAACGCAAAACATAGCCTCTCTAAGCATCTTTGGTACTCAAAAAGGCCCTTTGTGAAGTCCAAAACCGTTCCATGGAGGTCCGTTTCCCCCTTCCATAGGGGGTCAATGATGCTTTGGGCTCAAAACAGCGGCGCTTTCACTTTCCGTGCTTTCGCAGTTGAAACGAGCACGACTTCGACCTCCACTACTTGGGTGCCGCCGCCGCCGCCCACGTCCCCCACAACCCCCACGACGACCACCACGACGACCACCACGACCACCACCACGACTCATTCCCAGACTTACGGTCGACGGCGGATGTCCAAAGAAATTGCCGGTGAGGAACAAGGGAAGCCCTGCAATTTCCCTGCAGTGTGGTTGATTTACTTGCAATACTTGGGCATTGGGGCATCCACCGTAGCTTACCCTTTTTCACGCTTCGCCTTTGTGGCTTTCCTTCGTTTTCCCTTTCAAACAGTAAGCACACAGTTTCTGAGTCGGTATCCGTTTGGCCTAGGACTACCACTACCACGACCACGACTACCACGACAACCACCCCGTGGGTGGCCCCAACCTATCCGCCCACCACGGCACCTTCCAAGGCTGGGGCCCCGACGACATGGTTTTGCCACGTGCCAGGCATGGGTGTCGGTGCCAGTTCTTCTTCCTTCAAAGAATCAACCCCAGACATTCCAAGTACCTCAGGAGGATGGCTTTTGGGGCGGTAAAAAGGAGTCTAAGTACCTCCTTAGAAGTACTTGGACCCTCTGGGAATGTGTGAAGGTCTTCCGTCTTACGCATGGACGGAACCCAGTTTTCTTGTCCAGTTCTGTGAAATTGTCCAGATATGCATTTGGGATGGACATGAAAACAACAACCACAAAACCCAGACTTGTCCCATGCCACGTTCAGAATAACTAGTCATTTTGGCAGGACATGGGGTTTGCTCATCAAAGCATTTTAACGCCTCCGGCTCAGGCCGCCGACATTACAGGCCTGCTCCCCCCAAGATCTTCTCCCTTTTCCTCCCTAAGATCCTTTGCCCCCTTTCCCTGTTGAGATCCTTTCCCCCCTTTCCCCCCTAAGGCCTTTCCCCCCCTGAGATCTTCTCCCTTGTCCTCCCCAAGATCTTTTTTCTTGTTTCCCTTGGTTGAGATCCTTTCCCCCTTTCCCCCCAAGATCTTCTCCCTTTTCCTCCCTAGGATCTTCTCCCACCTTTCCCTGTTGAGCTCCTTTCCCCCTTTTCCCCCTAAGGCCTTTTCAGATCTTCTCCCTTTTCCTCCCGAAGATCCTTTGCCCCCTTTCCCTGTTGAGATCCTTTCCCCCTTTCCCCCCTAAGGCCTTTTCCCTGCCTGGGATCTTCTCCCTTTCCTCACTGAGATCTTTCCCCCCCTTTCCCTGTTGAGATCCTTTCCCTCCTTTCCTTCCTAAGGCCTTTCCCCCCGCTGAGATCTTCTCCCTATTCCTCCTTAAGATCCTTTGCCCCCTTTCCCCGTTGAGATCCTTTCCCCCCTTCCCTTTAAGGCCTTTCCAGATCTTCTCCCTTTTCCTTCCTAAGATTGTTTCCCCCCTTTCCCTGTTGAGATCCTTCCCACCCTTTCCCGCCTAAGGCCTTTCCCCCCCTGAGAGCTTCTCCCTTTTCCTTCCTTAGATCTTTCCCCCCTTTCCCTGTTGGCCTTTTTTCCCCCAGATCTTCTCCCTTTCCTCCCTAAGATCTTTTCCACCCCTTCCCTGTTGAGATCATTTCTCCCCTTTCCCCCCTAAGGCCTTTGTCCCCAGATCTTCTCCCTTTCCTCCCTAAGATCTTTCCCCCCCCCCTTTCCCTGCTGAGATCCTTTTCCCCCTTTCCCCCCTAAGGCCTTTCCCCCCCCTGAGAGCTTCTCCCTTTTCCTTCCTAAGATCTTTTCCCCCCTTTCCCTGTTGGGCTTTCCCCCCTAAGTCCTTTTCTCCCAGATCTTCTCCCTTTCCTCCCTAAGATCTTCCCCCCCCTCCTTTCCTCCCTAAGATCTTTCCCACCCTTTCCCTGTTGAGATCCTTTCCCCCCTTTCCCTCCCAGGGCCTTTCCCCCCCTGAGAGCTTCTCCCTGTTCTTTCCTAAGATCCTTTCCCCCCTTTCCCTGTTGGGCTTTCCCCCCTAAGTCCTTTTCTCCCAGATCTTCTCCCTTTCCTCCCTAAGATCTTCCCCCCCTTTCCTTCCTAAGATTGTTTCCCCCCTTTCCCTGTTGAGATCCTTCCCACCCTTTCCCCCCTCTGTCCCCCCCTGAGAGCTTCTCCCTTTTCCTTCCTTAGATCTTTCCCCCCTTTCCCTGTAGTCCTTTTTTCCCCCAGATCTTCTCCCGTTCCTCCCTAAGATCTTTTCCACCCCTTTCCCTGTTGAGATCATTTCTCCCCTTTCCCCCCTAAGGCCTTTGCCCCCAGATCTTCTCCCTTTCCTCCCTAGGATCTTTCCCCCCCTTTCCCTGCTCAGATGCTTTCCCCCCTTTCCCCCCTAAGGCCTTTCCCCCCCTGAGATCTTCTCCCTTTTCCTCCCTAAGATCTTTTGCCACCTTTCCCTGTTGAGATCCATTCCCCCTTTCCCCCCTAAGGCCCTTTCTCCCTCTGAGTTTTTCCCTTTTCCTCCCTACGATGTTTTCCCCCCTCTCCCTGTTGAGATCCTTTCCCTCCTTTCCCCCCTAAGGCCTTTTTTCCCCCCGCGATCTTCCCCCTTTTCCTTCCTAAGATCTTTTCCTCCCTTTCCTTGTTGAGATCCTTTCCCGCCCTTTCCCCCCTAAGGCGTTTTCCACCCCAAGATCTTCTCCCTTTTCCTCCCTAAGATCCTTTGCCCCCTTTCCCTGTTGAGATCCTTTCCCCCCTTTCCCCCCTAAGGCCTTTCCCCCCCTGAGATCTTCTCCCTTGTCCTCCCCAAGATCTTTTCCCTTGGTTGAGATCCTTTCCCCCTTTCCCCCCGAGATCTTCTCCCTTTTCCTCCCTAGGATCTTCTCCCACCTTTCCCTGTTGAGCTCCTTTCCCCCTTTTCCCCCTAAGGCCTTTTCAGATCTTCTCCCTTTTCCTCCCGAAGATCCTTTGCCCCCTTTCCCTGTTGAGATCCTTTCCCCCTTTCCCCCCTAAGGCCTTTTCCCTGCCTGGGATCTTTTCCCTTTCCTCACTGAGATCTTTCCCCCCCTTTCCCTGTTGAGATCCTTTCCCTCCTTTCCTTCCTAAGGCCTTTCCCCCCGCTGAGATCTTCTCCCTATTCCTCCTTAAGATCCTTTGCCCCCTTTCCCCGTTGAGATCCTTTCCCCCCTTCCCTTTAAGGCCTTTCCAGATCTTCTCCCTTTTCCTTCCTAAGATTGTTTCCCCCCTTTCCCTGTTGAGATCCTTCCCACCCTTTCCCGCCTAAGGCCTTTCCCCCCCTGAGAGCTTCTCCCTTTTCCTTCCTTAGATCTTTCCCCCCTTTCCCTGTTGGCCTTTTTTCCCCCAGATCTTCTCCCTTTCCTCCCTAAGATCTTTTCCACCCCTTTCCCTGTTGAGATCATTTCTCCCCTTTCCCCCCTAAGGCCTTTGTCCCCAGATCTTCTCCCTTTCCTCCCTAAGATCTTCCCCCCCCCCCCTTTCCCTGCTGAGATCCTTTTCCCCCTTTCCCCCCTAAGGCCTTTCCCCCCCCTGAGAGCTTCTCCCTTTTCCTTCCTAAGATCTTTTCCCCCCTTTCCCTGTTGGGCTTTCCCCACTAAGTCCTTTTCTCCCAGATCTTCTCCCTTCCTCCCCAAGATCTTCCCCCCCCTTTCCTCCCTAAGATCTTTCCCACCCTTTCCCTGTTGAGATCCTTTCCCCCCGATCGTTTCCCCCCTTTCCCTGTTGGCCTTTTTTCTCCAGATCTTCCCCTGTTGAGATCATTTCTCCCCTTTCCACCCTAAGGCCTTTTTGCCCCAGATCTTCTGCCTTTCCTCCCTAAGATCTTCCCCCCCCCCCCCCAGTTCCTGTTGAGATCATTTATTTCCCCCCCTTTTCCTTCTAAGGCCTTTTCCCACCCTCAGTTCTTCTCCCTTTTCCTCACAAAGATCTTTCCCCCCCTTTCCTCCCTAAGTCCTTTTCCCTTGAGATCTTCTCCCTTTTCCTCCCCTAAGATCTTTTGCAACCTTTCCCTGTTGAGAGCCTTTCCCCCCTTTTTCCCCTACGGCCTTTTTTTCTCCCCCCTTTCCTTGCTGAGATCCTTTCCCCCCCTTTCCCCCCTAAGGCCTTTCCCCCCCCTGAGAGCTTCTCCCTTTTCCTTCCTAAGATTTTTTCCCCCCTTTCCCTGTTGAGAACCTTTCCCCCCTTTCCCCCCTAAGGCCTTCTCCCTTTGCCTCCCCAAGATCTTTTCCCCCCGTTGAGATCCTTTCCCCCTTTCCCCTCGAGATCTTCTCCCTTTTCCTCCCTAGAATCTTTTCTCCCTGTCCCTGTTGAGATCCTTTCCCCCCCTTTCCCCCCGAAGGCCCTTTCAGATCTTCTCCCTTTTCCTCCCTAAGATCATTTGCCCCCTTTCCGTGTTGAGATCCTTTCCCCTTTCCCCCCTAAGGCCTTTCCCCCCCTGAGATCTTAAGGCCTTTTCCCCCCCCTGAGATCTTCTCGCTTTTCGATCCTTTCCCCCCCTTTCCCCCCCAAGGCCTTTTCCCCCCCCTGAGATCATATCCCTTTTCCTCCTTTTTCCTCCCTAAGATGTTTTCCCGCCATTCCCTGTTGAGATCCTTTCCCCCCTTTCCCCCCTAAGGCCTTTTCCCCCCTGAGATCTTCTCCCTTTTCCTCCCTAAGAGCTTTTCCTTTGCCTCCCTAAGATCTTTTCCCCCCCTTTCCCGCTTAAGATCCTTTCCCCTTTGATACAGCCTAAAAAGGTAGGTTTCCCGTTGCTTCCCCTTTGAAACAGCCCAAAAAGGTAGGTTTCCCTTTGCTTCCCCTTCGAAACAGCTCAAAAGGTGACCTTCCCTTTGTTTCCCCTTTGAAGCAGCTCAAAAAAAGGTTATTTTTGGTTTCCCCCCAAAAACGCCCAAAAAAGGGCGTCAACCAAACCTCAAACGCAAAACGAACAAAGAAACCACAAATGCGGAGGGTTCCCTGCTTTTTTGGGCTTGCCTGGGATGCAGATGGCCCAAGAAGGCTGGCCATCCAACCCCCAGACGCCGTCCGGCCGCCAGATGCTGCAGACCGCCGGGCTGCGCCTGCCGCTGCTGGAGGATGGAGGCCCATCAAGAAGCGAAATGAACATCCAAGGGTTGGCTGTTGTTTGTTTTAGTCTATGCCAAGGTGTTGAAAAGGCTGATTTGCCCCATGGCGGGCCGCTCTCTTTTTTTTTTTTTGGGGGGGGGGTTTTAGTGGGTCTGGGGTGGGGTGAAGGGGTTTAGTGGGTTTGAAGACATACATGTACCCTCAACACCTAAACCTTCTAAATGCGCTTGTCAAACTAGGCTGGTGGAAAGCAGTTCGGCCAAGTTAGTAAGGGCTTAGCCATGTGGGGTGCAACCCCCGCACTTAAGGGGACTTATAAGTGGGTTCTTACTAACTTGGCGAATCGAACACCCAAGTATCCACCCTTTTCACGGGGTCCCCGGTGTCCGATCCTTTCGTTGCACGGGTCAAAGTTTTCGGCCGTTCGGACGTGGGCCGTTCGCCGTTCGCCCGGAGGCTTGGGCCAGCCGTTCTACCACTCCCCGGAAAGGGGTTGGACGAAGCTGACCTACGCGCACCAAGACTTGGAGTGCACCGTCAAGGCGGGGGAAGGTACTGCGTCGGGTCAAAAGAACCGGAGATGTGGTTTGGGAGGTCGTTTCCCTTGACACCAACCCTCACATCTGTTGTGAGTTTCGGGACCTTCAACTCTTGGGCTTGGACCATTTGGCTGTGGCTCCAAAACATGTACCGAGATGGCGCCTGGGAAAATGGAAGAGACTAAAACCTGCGTAACCCTGGCTCATTAATTTTGAGCCGCACCCATTTCGGTGGTAAATAACCAGTTTGTTTACTTTTCTTTTGGCCAATCCACATCGGAAGTGAGAGATTCCAGAGCCACAGACCCAGCCTCAAACGTCGCATTTGTTTGGGGCATAGCTCCAAAAAGTGTGATGCCCCTGAAAGTAAACCTTGTATATGAGGCATGGTTAATATTTACCGGCATGTGCTGTGGGGAACGACATTGGGTACTTGGATGTTCGATTTGCCAAGTTACGTGGTTAGCCAATTCAGGCATAACCCCCTCTCATAACAAGGTTGATCCTTTTGAACAGGGACTTACGGTAAAAGTGGGGAACCTAGGTTACCACCAACTTCCTAACTTGGCCGAACAAACACCCATGTACGCTTACCACATGTCCATTGCGAAATGCAAGCCTCGCCAAATTCCCATGAGACACGCAAATAACAGGGGCTATGTCCCTGAAGCATTACCCAAAGGAATCAAACCTGGCAGGGCCAGAAACAAATGGGTGGCTCGTCTTTTGTTGGGTTTGGGGTTGGTTGAAAGGGAAACCAGCAGGAAGACCGTCGCGTGATTTTGGGAGAGGGGGGTCGGTCCCAATTCCTAAAACTGGACACTCCCAAATGATGGAGACTAACTCACAACGAGACGCAAGGATCGTGTCTTGACGGTGAGACACGGGAGTCCGACTCCAGGTGAATGGGGATGAAGTGGACTATGCAAGCGCCGGGCTTAGCCTCGTAAAGACTTCCAGTTGCTTAAGACTATGGTTTATTTCCATCGTTGGTTTTAAAGGGAATCTATCACTACTGGAAACAGGTGAAGTTTGGCCAGTGGGCTTAAGCAAATAGAAGAAGATCAAGCGACAAACAAAGGGCGCCTTTTTTTGCTTATGACCCGGATTCTGCGAATGACCTGGTCAAATTGCGAGCACTGGGGCTACAGCTGTTTTCTTCCTCTTTTTTTCCGCTTTGTGTTTGGCATTTGCTTCAAGTTGGAGTCAGTGCATGGACTCAGAGCAGCTCTGAATATGTTTTGAAGGGCTAGTTGTTCAAGTTAGAGTCAGTGCATGGGTGGTCACTCGCCGAAGCTCTGGCGAAGATTTTGCCACCCGAATCCTCAGACACCTTCAATGCTGACGGCTTTTTTCGCCCGAAGCAGATGTTAGCTTCGCTTCTCCGGTTTGCCTTTGCAGCCCTATTGCAGCAATTCGAAACTAGCCCTGACTCCTTTTGTTGTTGCTCACCTAAGTGTAGTTGTTCACCTAGACAATGGGCGTGTCACGTTTCCCCCCCCCCCCCCCCTTTTTTTTTCGGGGGGGGGGTAACGGGAAACCAAAGAAAAACCGCCTAGTGCGGGTTCCAAACCTGAATAATGACAAAGGTTCAACAAACCAGAAATGTAGACATGTCAGTAGTTTCCTTGTGTTTGGCGTGCTGTCCACAAACAGCCAACAAGGTGGATGTATTTGTTTACTACTCGGCCTTTGTTTTCCAGCGGCCATCCAACCCTTTCCTATCGTCTCCCAGAGACTCCAAGTACCTCAGATGTGTTTGATTGTTTTGTCTCAAAATGATGGACCTCGCCCCTCCCCCCCCCCCTCTAAAACAAAAAAGTGATTGACCTTGTGGTTTCTTATGAATTAAAAGCGACCAACAAGGGGTACCCCAAAAACGAACCGCCCCCCCAAATATATATATATATATAAATATGTATATATATATATATACACATCATTTTGGGTACCCCAAAACGACCCCCCAATATACATCAGTTTGGAAGTTGGCTAAAGTGGAGTTTGCCAGCAACAAATTCCCACAGGTAAGGGATCCTTAATTGACCTGTGATTTAATTGGGGTTCTAGTACGGCCCGGTTAAACTTCTTTGGAAGAACCAGCCTTTTTTGGGTTTGCAGAGCTCACCAGCCACGGGAATAAAAACAAGCGTTGCCACTTTAGGTCTCTTGGGGACATTAGTCGAAATGCTGCGGACCTGCACCATTTATAATATGTGCTTAATATTATATTTATATTGTATGTACATATTATATATTTTTATATACATCTACACATGAATATATATATATATATATATGTATTCATATATACATATATATATATAGCTATACATTTATACACACATACATGTTGCACCAACACACTATATACACAGATTTGCATATGTATATGTATATATACATATATTCGTATATATATATATATATACACATACTTGGTTCAATACCTTCGCACGCCGTTCCACCGGCGAAGACCGTGGCATGCGTTCCGAGGCCCGCCCGAGGAGGTGCATTGGTATCGCTCGGACCTGGCGGAGACCTCCAGCCAGCTGATCCAGGGCGGGGGCCCGGCGGCGCCTCGTCATGGGCGGCCTGGGAAGGGGTACCTGGAGGCTCCTTTTGACCCAGAAAAAATGGCTGTTCATGACCCCTTTAAAAAAAGGGGGCGATGGCTTTTTGTTTGGTGAAAGGGTTCAGAAGGAGACTCCAGGTACCGTGGGTTTGCCAACTACTTCTCAGTAAGTGGTTAGCAACCGTGGTTTTAAAGCACTGAAAGGATGCTTTTAATCATGTGGGATATAACCATGGTTATTACCCACTGTCTGAGTACCCAATCGCCCTTCAAGTAGGGTGTGGGAAACAACGGCTGGTTTGGCTAACTACTGCCTTTTTTAAATATGCGGAAGTACTGCCAAATGGAGTCTAGTAGTCACACGAATAAAACAGAACAACGGTAGTTGGGGGGGGGGGGGGGCTGGTCCAAACAAATCGACCTTTTGACCTTTTGGTTTCCAGGTTTGGTCCATATGAATTGCCAAGGTTCCGTCAGATTCTTTTATTTTCAGGTCTTTTGGCTGCGACAAACAGGAGGCCATGGATTTGAATGGTTCGGACTGGTAGACAGGAAGCGGGATCCACTGAGCTTTGTCTGCGTTATAGGGTCCCCTATTGCAATTCACACACATATGTGCTTCGCTTTTGGGGGGGCGGATTGCAAATGAGCAGGGGTTCTCTGTTTTTGCTATCACACTTCGTTTGCAATTGAGCAAGCGGTAGGTTTGTTCATGCCATCTTGGGTTTCGATGCTCTTGTGGAACAACATTCGGCTTTTGGAAGGAAAAACTCTACGCGAATCGATCGATACCTTGGGATTGGTGGCTTGTCTCAGTAGGGCTTCATCCGTCCCAACTGGTGCAACTGAATTTAGACCCCACCAAAATGGCACGGCTTTCGGATGACTCTTGGCTTCTCTTTACCCAGTTGCCCAGTGCTGCCCCTTATTTCCTTTTGTTGGGAAGGGTTCCCCTTTAAAGTCAACCAACAACACAAAGCATGACTTTGTTTCCACTGGGCATCCGAGTTTAATAGCTAGTTTGATCGTGCACAAAACCGGGTTGGGGCATCTCGTAAGAATCGTATGTCCAGGTCCTTGTGCAGTTTTTGGATGCCAATCCAGGCACTCAAGAGGAATTGGGCACCTGACTGGGGTACCACTTGCCGGTGAGATGCCCCCGAGAATTTCAGAGGAACATGGGGACCACTTGCCACTTCACGGGTAATTCTGCGTCAACAGTGTTTCACCTCCACGCTTGGCCTCATGACTTAGAGCCTTCAAAGTACACTTTGAGAACCGGTTCCTTGAAGTCCTCAAAGCCCAGAAGTCCAAAGAGGGGTCCTTGCTCCCAATCCAGGCGTTCACCACAAATAGTTTGCCGCCCTTTGGGTGGTTTGAAGGCAGCCGAAAAGGGAGAAACCACACTTTTAAGAGTCCAACCCATTTTGCTGGGCAGCACCATTTGGCAAGTAGAGTTACCCCCAACTCCCTTCATTTGTGTTGCCAAGAGAGTCTGGGATTCACTGGGTAAGTCAAACTTGCTGTTTGGGTTCACGGAACTCGAGCCCAAAAGGAAAGGGTGAAAGGTGTTTTTGAGGCGAAAGGTGCCCTTTTCAGGACATGCCAAAGCCCCAAACCCCAACCAACCCCAAACCCCCACCCCTCCAAAACCCCTAGCCTCCCTTTGTCCCCCCCTTGTTCAACACACCCACAAATCTGGCGCCGATCAAACGACCTTCCGGGTCAAAAGAAAAAGCGACAACCATGTCGCCAGGCAAAGCTGGACAGCTACTCGGATGGCGAAACAAGAGTTCTGCTTCGCTTCAGGTGTCTTACCTTTATGGCAAGCCCATGTTCGGACTGGTTGGTGTTCTTTATGGCCATTTGGAAACGGATTTTTGGACTTCAACTTGTTGGTTGCAACTTTGCAGATTTTCCGAATTGGACCCACACAGAGTGAAAAGCTGTTTGCAGAGGGTCAACAGCGACCAAGCTCCAGCGTCAAGGGCATGTTTCAGGTATGAGGTTTCAGAAAGCTTATTGTATAAGCTTGTGAGGCAGTGTATAGCTTATATAAGTGGATTGTAACCTTAAACAGCTCCAAATCCCATGATACCTGAAATGCCCTTGAAGAAGAGTGGTACGCTGGATACCACAATAATGAGATCCCAAAACAGTTGCATCAGAATGATGGAATGACCCGATGTTATATTGCGAAGCAAACCAAGCACACGACAAAACCCAATTCCATGCTAAGCTTTATAGAAATTCAGGGCTCTTTGGTGCCTTTTTTACCGGGAACTCCAGTTTTTTGGGTGAAGCCAAAAGGAATCCCGGAATCCATTTTGGTGGGTTCCCTAAAGAAAGACAGACCCAGTTGAAAGTGTTTGTTCGTGATCTTGGTTGGGGTGGCAACAAATCCAAGAAAAATGGGCCTACACCATTTTGCAAGGTGTAAATATGGAGGCTCAGCTGCCACGATGGGTGTTGACTTTCAAATGCAAACCACGGGACGAGTTGGTTTGTGCCAGGCTTAAATTTGGTTCCCCGAGCTTGGGGCTGCTGCACCCATGATACTAACTCACATGTTAGTTGGAGTATAGCTATCAATCAGTACATGAAGGCAAACATGGCGGGCAGAACCACTTTTGAAGCAGCTCTACATATCATGTTTGTGTACTCACAACGACACAAAGTGGACACCATTGAGCTTGACGTGGACAAACCACAAGTAGTTTCTATGGCTAGTCCTTGAAGGACACCAGAAGGTGATGTATAAGCTTGCAGAAAGTTCTTCTTTGAAACTATCCCATAAGCATCCTAGTACCGCATCATATTTGCGGATGTGCGGAATCTGTAGTTGCCCTTGAACCAAACCCAAAACCGTAAATGCACTGCGCTTGACTCGGCCGCGGCCCTCTAAAGGAGATCCAAGGAACACTGAACGGGAGCGGACCAGCTTGATTTCCCTCCAAGGAATCAACCCAATTGCAGTGCCACGGCCTCCAAGTTGTCTCAACCCTCAAATGGGTCGGAGGCCACGGGGCTTGATAAGTTCTTGGTTGCGGCTACCGTCTCGTTTACCTGTACGCAGGTAAAGGGCTTGCCAGCTTTTGAAAACACGAACGGAAATTGGCGCAAGGTTGCCAACTACTGAAAAGGGGCATTGTACTTAGTAAGTGGTTAGTAACCATGGTTACCCACAAAAGCCATGGTTATAAGTCTCCGTTCAGCGGGTAATTCACCTGGCTCACTAGCCCCTTACCTGACATACCGAGTCGATCGCCCCTGTAAGTGGTGGCGGCCTGGACCCCCCTTGACCGATCCTTTTTTCTGCCCAGTGGATCAAGACTTGGAGGCTCCCAGCCATCCCCTTAGCCTCTTAGCTTTTGAGTGTTTGGTGGCAGTTTCCGAATTTAACCCGCGAAAAGTTAGTCACTTTTCGCGGGGGATGAGAAAACGACCAGCCCAGCAAAAGGCGGCCTTAGAACAGCTTCAACGGACTCGGGCCACTTTGGGGGAGTGCAGGCGGGATCCGGATCCGAGCCTCGCGCAAGGAACCTACAGCTTCACGGGGAACGGCATGGTCTTCGTGGCCAACTACACCTTCACGGCCATGAGGGATCTCGACAGCGCCCAGGCCTCGCCCCCAGCTGGTCGAAGTTCGTTCGATGTTCTGGACCATAAGAAACTTGCGATCGGTGCGATGGGTATGTGGGAATGAAATCAAGGAGTCCCTGAAAGGAAACCACCAGTTGGATGGTTTAGAAGGGTAGTTCCAGGTTCTCAGTCCCTGCTATTCCCTGAGCACCAGCAAACAAAAGCATCTCGTTTTGGATAGGCACATGAATGTTCATCGAAGGGTAACTATGTAGTCCTTAGCACCTGAACTGGACACTGGAGTTGCGCACCTGGACCCCCAAAGGCTTGTTCTTGCCTTTAAACCGCTTTGTTATGGGACCCCTGGGCAGAATGGCGCCGAATGTGGTTGGGAATGCGGGGCTGGATTCTTTAGAACTTATCTTTAAGGTTTGTGCAAAGGGAACACGAAGGGACTAATCCTGTTTTCGGCGGTACCACTAACCACTGGCGAAGCAACTTCTAGAAAGCAATGGAGCAGGGAATGAGGGAATGACCCCTATAAACTAGCCCCATGGCGTCCTTTGAGGGAATTTGTAGGTTGATTGCCAAACTCTGGATCATTCCCTTCTGAGCACCAGCAAGCCTTTAACATTTGTCTTGAGGGACATGACTTGCTTCCCACAAACCACCGCGATGCGGGAGCAAGAAGTGAGAATTGTTTCCAGAAACCGTATCCGATTGGCGCTTCTTGCGGATTTCACTTTTTTTCCCACTGTTAGCAAAAACTGGCTTAGTACTCTGCAAAATACTTTCGGGAAATCCACAGATCCACAGATGGGATCCACAAATTTTAGTATCCAGGGCTAGGGGGACCCACAGTTCGCCGCACCCAAACGTCCGTCTGTCTTGATGTCAGGTCTGGCTGGGCACCTCCGACGATTGGGTGGGCACCACGGATCGCCCCACCAAGGAGCAAGGCGCGGGGAAAACGCGTCGCGCGAGGCCTCGTTGGGTTCGCCCAGAGTGGAACGAGATGGTACCCTCCTTTGATTGGCTTTTTTGGACAACCACCTTTTTAGTGTTTGTTCTCTTTTCATGTTTCTTTTTTTTGGGGGGGGCGGTCCCTAAAAAGAAGACATAGCCAGATGAAGCAAGAAGCATTAGTTTGGTTCCCAGAAGGGTGACACTTGGATGGCACATGTCCCTGGGTTTGGCTTAGGCATCCCCTTCATCTATCTACATAGAGGGAATTGCACCCTCGACCTTCACCAGGTGTATCCAGCCCCTGGTACCCTTTATAGGGAATCCAACAAGGCTGCTTAAACAATCGAAGCACATGTTTAAACAATGGGTTGGCCCCAACCTTCCCACCTGAATGATAGTCACGTAACAGTTGCCCAGTATCATTCAGACAGAACAGAACTATTATTAAACTAAGACATGCTGGTTTCAATAGTCAATGAATCGTAGATAGTTCATCACTCTAGTCCCATTCTACTCCCCACCGCCATTACTTCCTAAAATGATTCCCCTTGGAACAAAAACATGGATCCCAAAGATCGAGGTTCCATGTTTCTTGGAGTGCAAATTGTCAAGCCCATTCTCGATTCTCGATCGATAGATTCGATGCTTCCGCCTGTATGGTGAGCTCTGGCGGTAAACCGGGCTCACTATGTAGGTCCTTTATGGTTCTGAAACGGTCCCTCCACAACTCGATTCCTTTCTTTGAGCTGGCCTGAGTTTGTTTTGTCCCGAACAGGCCTGATGGTTTTGGAATGAATCTAAAACTTGCAGATGTTGCTGATGGATCACCTCCAACGCCTCCAAGAGGTCCCGGGCGATGGATTCCAGGGAAGTGGGTAGTGAAGTTGGAGTACGGGGTAGGGGTTGGGGAAGGGGAGACTTCTACGACTCGAGGGGTTGGGGAGACTCGCTCGTTCAGTTTTGGTTTTGAGTATATCTATTCTAGATTTTGCATTGCCGACTTTTGGTGGAATTTCCGCGAGACCATTTCTATTATATAGGTGACCTCGCCCATACCCAGTGGATCCCAGTTACCACTATAGTAGGTAAACAGCAATGGTCCTTTTGGTGTTGAAAGGCTGGCAAGCCCTTGGCTACCTACTATACCGGAAATGGACAGATAGGAAGGATTTATGTTGTTTCGGTGAAATTTGCCCGAAAGGAAGAACGGCCCAAGTTTCGAGCCAGATAGACTGGAAGGATAAATGGCATGCCCCCTACATCGTGCAATGTATCCATGGGGAAATTTGACAGGTCCTGGAGACCGAAAAAGAAACAGATCCCACCCAACCGTCCAACCAACGAAACATCCAACCGTCATCCGTCCCCCTCTTGGCAGGCTTCCCAGTCAAAGAGCCAAGACCTTCAAGAGGATCTTCCTCTTTTTGCGTCAAGACAAACCAACGAACCACAACAGTTCGGATGCTGGGAGATTGATTCCCCCGGCCTTTTTCGGCCAGCGAAGGTGGGGGCTTTTCCACGTGATTTCCGCACGTTTCCCGTGTGTCCCCAACCTGCCTTTTTCGCTTATTAATTAATATACACACAACGTGCCCATCATGAATTTTGTTGTATCTGGTTCTCGCCCAGGCGACTCTTTGGTTAAGGGGAGACCACAAGGGAAACCTGTCATTTTGGAGCTTCTCCCCGTGTTGAGGTATATACCCATATTGCACTTGGCCTTTGGTTTGCCCTTCCATTCAGCATGGTGGAACCTGTTTGTTTCCCCTTCACACCAGCGACATTTGTGGATGGACTAATCGCAGGTGTTACGGAGCTTTGCTACTAATGACCCTTTGACCAATTGGGTTACATACCCGGGGGGTCCATCTTGCGAGCTGTTTTTTCAGGTGATTTCAATCAACCCCGAATAGGTGGATGTGAGGATTTGACGCGCTTTTGAAGAACAATTCCACATCACTAATTGGGGTGGGGTAATAAAAGAGCAACAGACCAGATTGGGTTACAGGCTGCGTGACGATGTTGCATCCTCTTTTTGGGTTTGTCTTTTTTTGAGGCTGCCCGTTTTAACAGAAACCAAAGGAAAGCCAATGCCATTTCGTTGGTCTCCGCAAAATACACACATCCATTTGGTTGCAGAAAGCAACACACAAGTTGTACTACAAGTTAACCCATATATGAAGCCAGGTAGGACCACCCATTTGTTTCCGGATCCTGGGAATCTTTAGGGTTTGGGGCCTTAATCCTCGCTCGATCCCCAGGGGAGTTCGATGGAGCCAGCTTCCAACCAAAAGCCGGGGGCAAGGTGCTGCGTGTAAAAAGCGGCGCCTCGGACTGACGCGTGCGGCGTGTTGATTTTTCTTTGGTTCTCAAAAAAGGTTGCAAAGGATACGGTTTCTCAAGTATTATTACTTTTTACTTTTCACCCCTAGTTGGTGGTTTGGATAGGTGGTTTAGCGATTTGATCCCTGGCTTTTGTAGTGGGTAAATGGGAACCACACCTCACCAATCCAAACCACCAATCCAAACCAACAAGGAAGCTGATTCTTCCTTCAACTCACGAGTTGGGATTCCTTTGGATCACCCTGGGCGCAGATTCCCTCTAGTGGGTATTCAGGTTCACCTGGGCTTCCGAGCCATGTTTCTTGAACTCGCTCCCTGCCTTCCTGGGCTTGGAGCTTTTGGGGAAGGCAACTTTAGGGGTAAATGACAAGTTCCGTCGTTTTTTGCCGCTCCAATCAGGAAGTGAGTTTAATTAAAGGGAACCTCCAAAAGTGGCGATCATTTCAAAGGAACACCACCAGTCAATGGCAACTTCTGATTTGTGGAAATTCAGTGTCCCCTGTGCTCGTGCAGGGGACGTTGCGGCAATTTTCGATTACATGCGAAGCTGGGGCATATGAGCATCCAGTAATCCAAGTGCCGCTGTCATTGACCAGCGGTCTTTTTGTGTGGTGATTAGGTTCACTGTAAATGTTCAACTCTGGAGTGGCTTCCTTTGGTAAGCCGGGGTCACGCTATTGGCATTTTAAGTCAGTTGTTCTACTCCCAGCCAATGTGAACCTCTATGACCATGCTGGCAGAGCCAAAAGTTCTGCTAAACTGGTTATCATGCCACATGAATCTGAGGTGAGGAGTCTGTCTTCGTCTTCTCCACGAACCCGAACAGTGAATCGATCATTTTGCGGCACTACGGCCAGTGGCAGTCGGTTCAGGCGGGTTCTGAGTGGGATTCCAGGATTAGCAGCACACTGCGTGTCACTTTTAGGAACCCCCTACAAATCAACATGGAACCAACAGGGACTCCATTTCCCAAAAAGGGTTTCCTCTACAAATGGGTGGGTTTTCTGGTTCCATGTTAATCTGAGGGGAGTATTCCACCAGGTCGTTCAACCCCAAAACTATCTCCATGGACCCTTCTTTGTAGTATATTGTTACCAAGACATGATGCTCGGTGAACAAAACATCACTGCCTCCGGAGAACATTGTAATTGGCCCAAATCCAGGGGCAAACTGATTTTCAAGACGGTGGCTGGCAAAGAAAATGGAGAAGCCTCTTTCGCATTATCGTTGATATTGTTGTTTCATCGGATACAGGACATTCGGGAAATCCTCGGCAGCCCCTAGGGTTTACCCAATGTTCCACGTCCTTTGCAGGAACGCTTTATTTTTTTGCCCTTTTTGGCCCGCTTTGTTGTTTTGTCGGTGGCAATGGATTTGCGTGCAACCGTGCGTAATCCTTTCACCGAAATAGCCACAAGGGGGGGTTCTTCAAAAGTACGGATCCTTGGGAGGATTTTCTTGACAAGAAGCTAGACTTTGTAATGTGGTTCCAAGGGAATCCTCCCTGGTTCGATTGTCCAATCCTTGTGCTGCCTTTTAAAAGGGCGACAGAAGGTGGCACCATCCAAAATCGAGCCATATTTTTCTTGTTGCTGCGACGGGTAGGGAATGACCAAGTCAGGTCTCAGGAATGAACCGGAAGGGGATTCCCTTAAAGGAATCCAAAGTGGGGTCCCCCACTTTCGATGCAGAATTTGCGACTTGCTTTTCGAGGACTTTTCACATGGAAAATGATGGCACGGCTGCTGGCACGCTGCCGTAGCCTTAACAAGGCCTTGGTATGGGTACACATGGGTCACCCATGGTCACCCTTATCACACAAGGCATTTGTTTCCAGGCTTTGAATTGGTTCACAGTCGCAGACGTCTGCAACCCGGATTGAATTGTTTTAGAGTTGGCCAAATTCTAGGTGAACTAGTTGTGCGGAGTTGAAGCTAGGTGAAACCATGTCTCACAACTAAACGGGGGAGAGGATTTCTTTGGGGAACCACCAGGCGGCCCTCCACACCGAGTTGGATGCGAGCCTTTGCTCTCCTTTGCGCATGAACTGAAGCAGGGTCCTTTTGGTTGCTCAAACTAGCGTACAAACATGCCAGTGCTGCAGGCCCTTTTCTTCTTCTTGCCAGTGTCATGTCGACAAGAGTGCTCACTTTGTTTGCGTTTAGGTTGGACCTTAGGCGGGAAGAAACAAACAAAGCCCTTATTTCAATGACGTTTGCAAGCCTCACGGCAGATTTTGGACGGCTTGCCCATGACTTTTCGATGTTTTGCCTGGCTCTGTGCGTGTGGATGGTCGTTGGCTTGTTTGGTGCCTGCACAAAGACACGATGCCGGACCGGGTCGGGCCACACATTTTGTACCCGCGGAGTGAGAAGACTGGAAAGTGTTGGGAGGTGTCTTCATTCTGCACAAGTTATAGCGACCTCTTGGTAGGTTTCCGTTGCGAGACCTGATAAGAAGGATCGAGCTCGATGATGCAGGTCACCGTAGATTCCTAGAGTGAAGTCGCGAAATTCCATGGGAACGTTTCCAGCCTTTTTGGGGCTACAACCAGAAAGGCAGGAGACCATGAATTCAGATCCAGGCGGCGACTTTTTCGGACTTGGCCGAATCCACCTCCGATGGCGCCTATGGCATCTACGCCAGAGCCCCATGTTGCGGACGGCTTCGATGCGAAAACCTGATCCGGGGCAGACGAAACTTCAGGTGTCTTCTGGTGACAGGCAGTGGTGCCCCTTGTTTGGTGAGTTGGTTGGAAATAGATGGCGCCGGGTTGGATTGGGTTTATTCTATTTACCACAGCCATCTATTTCAAAAGGACAATATGTATACATATATATATATATATACTTTGTGACAGGTGTCTTTTATAGGTGTCCCTCTTGGTTTCCCGTTTTATTGCGATTCTACACTGGTTCCCATGACCCAGCTCCCCCAAAGGAATGTCTGGAAGGGAGGCGTACCTTCAAAGAGACCCTCCCCGTAAATTTCCCAGATACAAAGGAAGTGTACCGGGCGAGGGGCGCGGGTTTCCCAATTCGGCGTGTCTTTTGTAGGGAACCCCCCCAAAAAAGTAGCGGAGGTTCCTGTTTGTTTCCTTTTGATCCATTTGGGGTTGGGGGGTTCCCGCTGAGATATGGGTGACTCATGGCTGGCAACCTCTCCGACTCTTTGAACCTTTTGTTCCTTCCAAGTGTTGCCCAGCCAGGGGCGAAGTCCCGAGCTCCAGTGTTTTTGTTTTTTGTTTTTTACTTTTTGGAGGTGTCTTCAAAATTGAGTAGAACAACAAGCGCCCACTTTTTCCCATGAGGTCGACTAATAGTATTAGGCAAGCGGGAGCCTTGTTTCCCCATTTTCGGCGTACAAAACCACCCGGGTTCTGCATAGCAAACCCCGGAACCTTGCTTTGGTTTTTTCGGCTGATTGCCCCCTCATGCATCGTTCTCAACCACCAAATGTCATGTGGCCCATAAGGGTATAGCGCATGTTGACCGCCGTGTTATTAGGTAGGGTAGAAATTTGTCTTCATGAGCCGGCCGGATGGACATCCGGCACAACAAGAGCGTTGCAAACTCTGGATGTGGTTTTGTCATGTAGGTCTGCCTTTTTTAAGGATCCCCTTTTTGTTGGCTTTAAGCGGAAGCCAAAAGGAAAACCACATTTTTGGGGTCCCTTACAAAAACATACCCATCTTTTGTGGCCTCAGCCTTCCATTTGGAGGTATTGTTTCACGTTCCTACGTGTCGGTGACAACGTTTTTTAGGAAACCCCTTTGGGGTGAGCAACCCTGTTGTTGGTATCATCTCGCTGTTGCCTTATTCGACGTCCGGGTGTGACTCTAAGAGGATTTTCACCCGCGAACAACCCTCCTTGTACGGTCCAAATAGGGCGTGCCGTTTCCCATTGGGGTCAGGGTCGGGGAATAGCTTAGACTCTAGACAGTTTCCCTACGCGCGAAAATCGCGGTGGCAACTTTTTGCAGGTCAATTGGACGAAGCTGTTTTTGGGGCATGCGCGAGGTGAGAAAATTATTCCCATTGCCTTCGGAACTCAATCAACCTGAGGGCAGGCTTAGATTACCCTGTTGCCTTGAGTATAAGATTCGTCAAGTGAGTATGTGGCTAGTTGTTTTCACCTAATAACAAGGTTGACCCCAAGGACTTGCAAGTAACCAAACGGTTGCCAACAGCTTCGCAACTTGCCGAATCGAGCACCCAAGTAATGCTGACCCCATATGAGGGCCATCCTGAATCCCCAGTCTTCGGTTTCAATTATCGCCAAACGGGGAGAAGTAAAAGTTGTCAAAAGCTGTGCGCGCGCAAGGAGCGCGCAAGTGCGGCCCAAGGGATGCGCAAGGTTAAGGTTTTGAAGGGTTTCATGCACTGACGTTGCCTAGCTTCATGAAAGGAGCTGATGTTTGTGTTACTGCACTTGCTTGGTTCTCGTGTAGGTCACTGTTTGCAACGGTCCTGCAAGGGAGTGCGTGCTTTTGCCTTTAAACTTTTGTGAGTTGTCCAGGGCGACGGGCTGAAACACGCACACGCACACACACACACACACACACACACACACACACACACACACACACACACACACACACACACACACACACACACACACACACACACACACACACACACACACACACACACACACACACACACACACACACACACACACACACACACACACACACACACACACACACACACACACACACACACACACACACACACACACACACACACACACACACACACACACACACACACACACACACACACACACACACACACACACACACACACACACACACACACACACACACACACACACACACACACACACACACACACACACACACACACACACACACACACACACACACACACACACACACACACACACACACACACACACACACACACACACACATTCACACATCTGCAGTTTGCCGACTGCAGCGTTTTCTTCAGTCAGACGCCAAAGGAAGCCAAAACTTCTGCGGTCATGACTTCAACAACCAGCAACTGACACGACAAATCCACGCAAGTCGCGCGCATGCCGCGCGCAAGCCGCGCGCAAGTTGCGCGCACTCACGAGAAGCCCCACCAAGACATCTAGCCATTTGCTGTCTCGGATGTCCTTAGCGGCGCAGCCGCGACGTGCACTGTCCTTCTTTCAGGCTGTGTCCAAGCTGCGTGGCAGAGCTGCAGTCCTTTCTTGTGGGTCAAGAGTAGGTTGCTGGCCTAGAATTGCTGGGAGCGACCTCAGCGGAAAGTGTGGGTTGCTGTGTGAGCGATAAACACAATGCTTACGAAAAGCTGGCGCGCCATCAACACGAAATCTTCGCAAACCGAGGTCAACAAAGTCTAGTTTCTGCGCCGCTGTGCGCGCGCAAGTCCGCGCAAGTGCCGCGCAAGCGCGGCCCAAGGACCCAATCCCGGGCAAAGGAATATAGGACAACCTCCATATGAATCTCCTCCAAAAGTGCTGTGATTCCCCTCTCAACCCAGGGACACCCTTATTAAGAAACTGCGGTTGATGAATATGTCTAGCGCTACCTTCCCCATTCTTTCCAGGGATCCTTGTTTCTAGAAAACCGCCGGAAACCCAGGGAAGCGGCCGGTTGTCGAAAAGAATGATAATTAAAAAGAATGAAGAATCAACAATAGAATATGTGGTTATCCAGCCCATTCACTCGCCAACCTCCCGGCCTGCGTCAGGTTCCGCTCGGCTCCCTGCGGGCGGGGGAGAAGAAATCGGCCGCCGTCTACTATGCGGCAGCTCGTCCGAGATCGAAACCGGATCGCTGGGGCGGCTCAGTGGAGGAGGATTTTCAGTCAGACCACCCCAGTTGCCCAGTGGTACCTTTTGTGCCGGTTCCTTTTTTCTTAGATGGCACTGGGCGTCTGAGTCACACTGGACATCGTGATGCCTGATGAGAAATGGGGAGGGAGCCCAAATGAGGGCTTGGTTTGGGTTGGGCCAGGCGGCCTCCCTCCCTGACAGTTGGTAGATGGTTTGTCCCATCTGTTCCAAGTCCCCAAGTTCACAACCTTAGCTGGGTCCACCAGTATAGCGCCCTTTTACCCTTTTTGGGGGAAGGTTACCCTGCTAAAATAGACTACAGAAAAAAGGTACCCTTTTTCGAACACTTCTACTGGAGGACCTGGATAGGTTGCCAACCACTTGGGTTCACCGAGTCAATCGCCTCACGTCAGCCAGGGGACCGTTTACCGGGCTCCGAGCGCTTGCGCCGAAGGACAAACAAGTGTGCAGGATCCTAGAAGTTTGTCTTGACCAGGATGTGCGAGCCGTTGCTGCGCCACCCAAGTCCAGGAAAAGTATTAGTCCATGTCGTCAAAGCGCAGGATCCTAGAACGCATTTGGCAATGTCAACGCATTTGGCAATGTCATCAAAATTGGGGGGGGGGGACGCCCAAACATTGCAGTTGGCGCAGTTGGTCTCCCTTCAAACCAAGATGAACAAGGGTTCCCTCAAACAAGTACACACAGTCGTTGCCGAGGCCGCCGACGCGTCCCAGCTGGCCGCGCTCGTGGATGCTGCCGCGCAAGCACACGGCGCCTCGGCG